CAAACAATAACAAAAAAACTTTTTGTGAATTGTGTGTAAAGTTGAAAGGCCTTATCTGTGTCGTAGGAGATGGAGCAAATGGAATAAATCATGTTAGGCTGTATTTTCTAACATTGTGGCCTAAACTGGGATTCTATTTACCAAACTGATCAGCTGAGAATAAGGGTGCAATTTCCTCATATTTGACTTCTTGGGAGATTTTCAGATGAACAGAAAGATTCAACTTCATTTTTAATAAAATCTTTTGATACTTGTTTTTATCCAAACAGCAGAATGAGCTTAATCTGGAATTTGAGATGTGCACTGTTCTCTTCTTGAGCTTTTCATTAATGTTTATAATACTAATTTCTCTGGTCTCAAAAAAATGCTATGTAGACAGACAACAGAACCAGCATCTTCAGTGCATTAGGCAATAAGTGGTTGTGGAGACTGGCAGTGATTTGTTCATCCCTGAGGTACAGGAGCCAGGAGTAACAAAGGTCCACAGGTCAAATTCTACCTCATATGGCCTTGTGAAATGCCATCATCTGTTGGCTCTCTTTGCAAAAGAACTATGTTTTTCAAATTGTTTTTCATATTGGAAGTCTTAGTGTTCTAGAAATTCTGTCCCCACACAATGTATCTGACATTGATATCCAGTGATGTTTAACAGGAGTAATTAAGAGGAAAATGTCCACCAATAGCTGGAATTTAGGAAATTTGATACTCTTGTAATAGGATTAGATATCATATTACTACTCTATTTTATCTTATTAACAACTAAAATGCAATGCAATGATTTTCATTACTCATACAAAGGTCTGGGATTTTGGAACTAGGAAGAAAACTGACGATAAATCAGATGCTGCTTTTCCAAAGGCACTTTTCTAACAATGATTACACACTGAAATGGTAATTGCAACTTCAAAATAGCATATAGCTGCACAGCTGATCTTGAAATAATGGACACAGCATGGGTTTGCCTCTGATTATTTTTTGTACCTGACTCTATACTGGAAATAACTTTAAACACAGAAGTGCTTTTCTTGAATAAATTATGTTATCAGCCAAACAAATAAAACTGCATTTGCCTTTTAGCACAGCAACATTGACATCTAGTGGCTAGTTAAGCTCCACATTTGATATTCTTTGTATGACAAAAAATTGTGGAACACGCCATTTACTGAATTTGACAAAATAAACATGCATTGCAACAGCCTGTTCTCTCCACGTAACCTCCAGATGGTTACAAAATGACTAGTCTTTTAATGACCAGTTTGGAGTGACCAGTACCAGTGATGGGAACTGGTAAGCATGAGCCATTGTTCCTCCTGTACAGTCCCACTTGTTTTCCCTGACTGTCAGAAAGTCTTAAGCTTGGGAGTCAGCTGCCTGACTGAAGTGTACACCTTCCTCAGGGCTTGTTGGGAGGCACAGGGCAGCCCTGAACTTGTACACGGGTACATCTAAATGAAAAACTACACTTACTGAATGTGGTGGCACATACTGGCATATGTGAACATCCATTTTTAGTTTTACTTGCTTTTCTACAAATTACTAGGGGGTTTCAGATAGAAGGAGATAAAAATCAGGAACATGACAGATGCTGAGGTACTGTTTGCACTATGAAGACACGAAAATAAATGATTTGGCAACTTACTTCATAGACATGTAAAAGATAGGAAGGTGCCAATATCAAATAATTTTAGAAAGTCTAATTTCCTCACTTGTCAACAAAATAACTGACTTAATGGAGAAAAAAGGAAAGATTAGACAGGACAGGTTGCAATTTTACTAGCCTTCTTGATCGTTCCACATTACTGTCTCATAATCAAACTCAAATGTAGTCAGGTATGTCCCCTGCAAACAGCTCTTAAAATGGATGTACTTGACTGTTTTGTCCTTGTTCTCCATACCAGTGGTAGCTGCCTCTTCAGGCCTGCTGGCAAAGCCTCCTGATTTTTTTCATTAAAAATTGGACCAATGTTTTAATTGGCTAACCAAACTAATTTTGATTCAACAAATCAGAAGCTGTTGAGTTCAAACAACTTTATCAGAAGATCTTCTGCAGGAAGGCTGATGTGTTTCTTCCTGGCTAAACACTGTTAAGGACTAAACAGCTATACTTTTTGTTTCTTAGAAATATATAGAGAAATCTGAGTCTGGAGAAGAGCAATAGAACATAAGAGTTCTCCAAAATGTAACCAATATAGAAAGGTTAAAGTACTTTCTTAGGCTGCAAAGAGGGAAGGCTGTGGGCATATGTGTCTTCCAATTTTTAAAGTTGTTATTCAAATGATGATCAATTCTTGCTTCCTCTATCAACTAATGAAGGGCATTAAGAAATTATCTCAAGTAGCAACAAAGAAGATTTTTCTTAGATAGTAGAAAAAAATCCTTTATACCTAAGAGGTTAATAGATTAAGCTATTTATGCTGTGAACTTTCCTATACTGGAAGCTTTCAGGAACAGCTCAGTAAGTATGTTGTATTCTTTGAATTCTGCATCTCTGTCATGTATGTACCATGTCTGATTTAAGCTTTTTGGATACACTTCGCTCATTCTAGATTTAGGGCAGGACTAAAGTAAAAACTACAGTGATGTCTCCTTTGTGAACCATGAAGTTCAGGGCTACTGTAATTTAAGACGATTGTGTCACACTACTGCTAAGTGATCTAATAGAGAGCTGCTGCTGAAAGGGCAACTCTTTTCTCATCTCCTCCTTCACTGCTGTCCCATCCCTGCATCCTAACCTTTTTTTGCCCCACCACTATTACTCAGACACCACAGCAGGATAGTCACAGGAGCTAGGCTGGTAGAAAATTAAATACTGCAGTTCAGCAGAAGTGGTCAGATGAGCACCGGGGCCACTTCAAGAAGAGGAATGCTCTCTTCAGCGGCAGCTAACCCATAGATTGATTTATCTGTAAAGGAAAGCTGTGCTTCTAAGGTTTGGTTGTACAATCATTGAAATCCAACTTAAAACCATAGCACCTCCTGCCCTGTAAAGAGTTATGACCCTCTCTCTTCTTTTTCCCATATCTTCCAGTCCTGTGGGACTCATATGGGAGAAGTGCCTTCTTGGTGTCAAAGCATACTGTTGCTGGATTTAAACTGTGGACATACTCCCACAGGAGCAAACTATGATGCACATACCAGGGGCTAAGGACAGGTTCGGTTCCAACTTCTAATTTATTTGGGAGGCCATTTCTGATCCGGTTCCCCAGCTGTAGCTTACTGTAGCCCATATACAAAAAGCAATCGGGTGATATTTGAAAGCAACACAGATATCAGAAAAGCATAGCATAGCAAGATGAAATTATCTAGCCGCTATTCTGAGAAAAGCTGTTTATAAAATAACTTCAGCATCTACAGCAGTTGCTATAGTTGGACTCACTGCAGAATTTTCCTGTCCCAGAAACTTTGTTTTTTCTATATGCAGGCTTTTGTGGCCACAACACAATGCCAAGAGATTCAAGAATTGTAAATCTTTCCTCTACCTTTCCCACTCTTCTTCAAAGTGCATAATCAATGATATGTTGGCCCATTTTCCAGAATCATGTCAGGATTCATTCACACTAAAGCAGTCTGGCATTTCCATAAGACAGGAACAACAAAAAGATGCCTGCTATTACAGCTTTGAGGGTATACATTATTTATTTTGAGATATTTAAATTATTAATTAGGAGAATTCCATTTTTGCAAGTCTCTGCCCTTTAGAGGAAAAGGGCCACATTCTGTAGGACTTCAGCAGAATACTGCATACACTCAGATAAGCATAGTCCCACTCAGTTCCTTTCTGTGGGACACTAGCATCACCTTTATATCCCTTCGCAGCAACAACATAATGAGTAACACAAACACTAGGTCAGTAGAAAAAATACTTTTGTTTTTAAAAGGGAGATTTGGTAGCCAAGGTAAAGAGGTACACTGTCAACTATGGTGTGTGATCACCATACTGTGTAACAGCAACTACCTATAACTTGTATTTTACACTCTGCATACTGCAAGGACAGCAGTAGTATTTTAAGTATTTCCCTGTATTAAGTGTATCTGTGGTTTAAGAATCCAAATCAATAACACAAATGGAAACTTTGATGCAGTCCAGAAGAAAGTATCTATGATGGATTGATTAAAGCATTTCAGAGCTCAGCAGTCAAAATGCTGGTTCAGGTATTGTGTTTGATGGGAAACTAACACTTTGACAGCTACTTGCTGTATCTGATGACTTAATGCTGAAGATTGGTACTTCCCAGCTACCTTATCAGAAAACACTTTCAGTTTATAAAGCTCCTCTCTCTGATACAACCCGCAGGCTCTAAAACTCTATTGCCCACTTGCCGTCGGTCCTCACAGAGAAACTGGGTCACATACGTTCTGGGTCACATTTTGTCCTTCTAGCTGCGGGATGCGATCGAAAAGCAGAGTCGGAGTTACAGAACGCCGTACCGAGGCTGTGCCGCGCCGAGGGCACCGCGCACCTCCCGCACGACACGGGCACGCCTGGCAACTGCTGCCCGCCGCGGAGCGCCTCCCGGGGCCCTTCCTCCCTGGGGCGTCCCCTTCTCCCTCGGGGGTCCCCTCTAGAACGCCGTCCCCCCCTTCCCCCACCCCTCCCGAGGGACCCTTTCCGCCGGGCCCCGGTGCCCGCAGCCGGGTCTGAGCCGGTGCCCCCCGTAGTGGGGACTGACCTGCCCGAAAGCGCCGGGGGTGGTGCGGGGGCGAACCGGGGCGAGGAGGAGAGGGGCGCGCCGAGACCTCTCCGAGCCCCTGCGGCCGAATCCTACCTTCCCAGAGGCGGAGACCGCGGCAGCCGGGGCCGCGCACCGGGTTCCGGGCAGGGAGACTCCCCTCGCCCTAAACAGATGAGCGCTTTCCCCTCCCTCCCGTGCCGGCTCGCCTTCGCCCTCCCGCCCCGCTGCCCCGCGCCGCCCGCCGCCGCGGAGAGAGAGGGAGGGAGGAGGGAAGAGCCCCCGGCGCGGCGCGCTCCGCCTCTGCCCCCGCTTTTCCGGGAGCGGCTGGCGGAGCGGTGCGGCTCCGGGAGCAGGGCCGGGCGGCGCAGGCGGGCCTGGTCGCGCCGCCGCATGGAGCCCAACCAGCTGCGCCTCTCCGCGGCCGTGAGTGGGGCAGGAGGGAGGGGGGGAACGGAGGGGGCCCGGCAAGGACAGGCCCGGCGGAGGCCGCGCCTCCATGGCGGCGGGGCGGGGCGGGCGGGGAAGGGCCGCGCCGCCTCCCCGGACGGGCTGCCCGGGGTTCGCGGCCGTGCCGCGCTCCGGAGGTGGGAGACGGGTCAGGCGGGCCGGGAGAGGACTGGGCGGCTTCCAGGACATGGGAACGGCTTCAAAGTCGCGTCGGACCCACACGGGCCGGCGTTCGATGTGACTTTTCTCCCTGGAGCTCCACGAAATTCTAATCCTCGCTGTCGTGGTCTTCTGATGTCTACCTTTTACTCCTGCTTCTTTCGTAGTTTTAATAAAGGGGCAGTATCTTGTGAGTGCTTTTCTCTTTGTCAGGGCCGTTCACTGTACAGTATATGCAAGCACTCCTTGTAGTTGATTCTACAAGGAAGAGTAAATTTGAAGCGAATTGAATTTACTCTCAGGTTTTTTTCCCCCAAGTTGCGGCTACAAAGCCTCATAGACATCAGGGTGGGAAGAGTGTGTTACGGTGAAGCATTCTGACTTCACACATGGCACTCTTTATCCAGACAGGATGGCTCGTCAAGCCCCCCTAGAGATCCCACGCTCCCCTCAGTCCTTCCCAGAGTAGTTTGTATCAAAACGAGCACTCGGGCCTGTTCCGGGCCACATCTGGGCTGTGAGCAGACATGAGCACAGACCTGTGTGCTGGGCAGATAAAGGGAAGGATGAGAGTGACGCTTATGACGGGAGTAGCAAGATTAGGGCTGAGGTCAGGAACCACGAGTTGGGAATTTTTGTCTAGGATTGTTTTGACTTTTTTTTCTTTTTTAACTGCTTTTTTGTGTTCAGCTGTATGTTGTGGTCAGGAGTCAACATGAACTGTGATGTGTCCATTTCACTAGTGTGCATTTACCTCATTAGAGAGGTGCCTTCTCTGGATGCAAATACCTGCTGTAAATGCAGTGCTGGGGAATCTGTAGTGTCCTATATTGAAATCAAGAGTTGGTATCTATGTCTGCCATCAGCTGTGGACAGCATTCATTTATTTACTGTGTTTAAATTGCTGGGGTTTAGGACTCCTAAGTTAAGTAGACTCTGTTCTGTCTCCGATTGTTTCATTATTAGTTAATCCAAGATGTTGGGATTACTTAAATGTGAGCTAAATGTACCCCAGAACATATTGGTATTTGTTTTAATTTTGTGGTTTCAGTTTGTTTTGTTGTTTGAGAATAAAAAGTTCAGAGTTGATGCAACAGGCAAAATACATGGTACCATTTAAGTTACATACCTTTTCAGGTTTGCATTTTGGTAAAACACTTGGTATTTACATTAATAATTTACCAGAAGCATTCTGAGTCTCTGACAAATTCCATCAAAGCAAAGTTTATATTAAAGGGTTTATTAAATAGTGAAAATAGTTATTTTAAATATTGTTGACAATTTTGCATGCCCATGTCTACATCTGCTAGCTTGGGCACAAAGCTTTGGTATCTGCCCCTCTTTTACTACAGTTAAATACATTTTCTTTATCTGGGATTGTTCTCTGGGGTTTTTTTTCTTGTGGGGAAGGGAAGAAATCTGTCATGAAATTTTACAGTATGAAGCAGGTGTGTGTTTACATTGTCCTTCCAAAATGGAAAGATTCATTTATGGATGCGATTCTTTGATGGAGTTAATGAAATGTTTTACCTAAAAGTCAGGTCATCTTGATATCATCCTAAGGCATCAGGTCAGTAATTGTTCAGTCCCAGTCTCCACGAGTGCCATCCGGCACTGCTGGAGCTGCTGATGCCAAACTCAGCTTCAGTGCAGTACCTGCCCATCTGCTGTTGCCTTCGAAGGAGGAGTGACCTAGAAGTGTCAGGACGTCAGTCATGGGTTGTATTCTTTTTCACTCTGAATTTATCTGTGAGCTATTGTAGTGATTCAGAGGAATGTCTGAAGCTGTGGAGTTTTCCTGTCAGAAGAGCAGCCTATGCCTGCCTTAGCCATACTTGCCCTTATATTCACAGTTAACTTTTCAAAAGGCAGTCATCAACTTCTGAGAGCCCTACAGTATGATTCTGTTGGACCAGCTTTTCTTGTGTCTTTTTTTCTTTTTGTTTTAATCATTCCTGGAATCAGCTGAGAGCTGATTACTGAGGATGTCTACTTCTTTCCTGGGCCCCATCATCCAAGGTCAACTACTTAGTGAAAATCTCCTTTCATTTGGTCTTTCCTCTTTCAGCCTTTTTCTGTACTACTTCTGTCTCATGTTGACTTTCATGCTCATTGTGTTGGCTGGGACCTTCTCCCCTTTTGAGTGTGAAGGAAGCTCCGTGTTCATCTGGGAAGCATTACTTTTGCTATTTAAAACATTCCCGGATTACCATCATATTTTTTTAATTTAGAGGCCAAATATAAATATATTTTCTGCACACTCTTAGAGTATTCAGCCTTTTCTAAAGACCACATAAGCTTCGTTAATAAAAGTAGTGGTAGGCTGGCTATTAGAACCACCTCAGCTATGGAACTTAGTACCATTGCTGCTCTTTTGCCAGTGCATGACAACCACTGACATCTGCTGCACTTTTGTTTGTTTGTGTGTCTGGTAACTGATAATTTTTCTGTTTCTTGGGAAATAGAAAGCATAAAGGTAAATCAGAAAGTTCTGGTTTGCTTTTGTTCAAATATATAAGTATATGCAAGCTATGTATTCTTCAGAAGAGTTCAAGAGTGGAAGGAACATTACGGTATTAGTTTATTATTAGCAATAATAAAAAAAAAATTAAAAAAATCTTAAAACCAATCCTTCACTGTCAGTTTGATAAGATAGTGTTTTACATACTCTGCATGATACAAATCGATTGTTGGGGTCAGTAGAGAAGGCACCTCATCAAAATTATCCTGAGGAGATGTGTCTTTTTTGCAGAGTTTGTGTTTCTCAGCTTTTTGTCTGAGGAGGGCTATGATTGTACGTAATGTAAGAATCAGCTGAATCAAATATGTTTCTTTTCTCATTCACAGTCTGAATTACCAAGATACTTAGGTAGTGTGTGTTTGAGCCTTTCCACCTGCAGATATGTAATAACCTTCCCTCTTGTTTTTACCTCAGTCGTGTAAAAGTGTTTTTTGGTGTCTGTGCTGGTTTCTGCAGTTCCCAGCTCTGGCTACACTCTCCCTGTGCTACCCCTTCAGCTGGCTGGTGTAACTGGTTGCAGGGGCTCTGGATGAACTGTCAGGGAACTGACCTGAGTTAAAATACTCCTTTTGGATAGGTTCCTTTGTAACTTGGGTGAGTTGTTTTGTCTGGTTCATGTGTAGTTTCACAACTGTAACTGGGCGACTGGAAGGAAGGTACCAGAGTAAGAGTGAGGGAGAGGAGATAGGATCTACTTAAACCATTGCTTCTGCCGAAGTATTGTCCCTTGAAAAATGAAGGTGATGTATCTGGGCATCAGTCAGTGCTTGGTTGCTGAAGACATTAATTTGACATTGTAGTCCCAAAGTTTATGGAAAAGACTTCGTTTTCTGGTGGGAATGTTGTGCTGATTAGGTGGTATGTTTTTGCAGGCATGTTGTTGGTTTGTATTTTAGTTACAGTTTCAATCAGATTTCCAGTTACCAGTATAAGATCTAATGTTCTAAAACGCTGTACCACAGCCCAAGAAACTTTTGTTCCCATCTTTCTTTGTTTATAATGTGGGCATATTGGTTGCTGTCCTCCAGCCCCCTGGAAGACTTGCTTCTGGGGAGAATACTCGCCTTTTTCTTATATAAGGAACATTGAAATTAAAATCCAAAGGTATTTATCATACTTTTGGTTTTCTGCATCTATGCGAAGATTAAATATGGGGACATCTGCATATAAATTATTTATAGAGGGATCTTTAGACAGATTGACAGTGTCTTTCTTTACCCTGTGTTATTTGGAATATGCTCTGCATTGTCTGTTGAATTTGGCTTCATTTAGACGTATGTGAGAATTTGCACTTTTTTGCTTCCTCTCTGTCTTTCTCTTTTATTTATACATGATAGACAGTACTAATTTGTAATTATGCCATATCCATGTTACATTAGCAGATATATTGACTGGTCTATTATTTTCAGGCACATGGCCATGGAGGCTATGATTCTGATTTCAGTGATGAGGAGAGTGGAGAGAAGTCTCTGCAAAAAACTAAAAGGTAATGTAGTATAGACTTAACACTTTGCATTACACATTTTGTGCAAATGGCCTCTTAGTGTGCATAGAAGATGATGCTGTTGTATGTAAAGTCTGGTGTTGAAATGGTTTTTGAAAAAATCAATCTCTTTGATTTCTGCATCTCCTCATGTCGAGCTTGCCAAAGCTTGTCATCTCCTAGGGGCAGCTGATTGAGATCTGTTCTGCCATCTCCATCTGTTGTCTATATCCTCCTCACTTCTTGGAGCAGAGTGTTTCGTTTTTCCAAGCATTAGTATCCACTGCTGGGATTTGGCAGCACTGTTCACTTCACTATGAATCCATCAGGACAAATGGAACTGCTAGGAGAGCAAGGCACAAAAGGCCAAGTGGTAGCAGGCTTTGTAGATATAAAACATATAAAGTGAAGAACTAATGCTACTTCTTTATTATTTAATTTGTGAAGAGACCTGGGAATTGGTGAATTGTATTGTATTCAATCCTTGAAGTGTAACTGCAAATAAGATATTTGCTAATTCTTTCAGTAGTTCCCACTATTAGTGACCTGGAAATTTGTAGTCTGATTTCCTTATATTGTAAAGATTTTTATTTATTTATGTATTTATTTTGTTTTGGCAGTATAGTCCTTTGACACTTTCTGCACCATACTGAACATTTGGCCCACATTATGCATGTACTTTTCTTTTTCCTGTCTCTCCCTTGCTTTTTACTGGACTTTATTTAAGAAGACTTTCTGGAAACTTTCCTAGGTCACTTGCATATTTTCCTTTGTAGAAAAATTGAAAGAATGGATTTTGTAGTGTCTGACTGCATTCTGGGAAAAAAATTTCATGTTTTAATCGTTGGAATAAGAGCAGGCATTGTGGTGTTTCATTTATTTTATAAATATAGCTGTTCTCCATTAAAACAGTGACTGGTTTTGTTCAGATTTTGTTTTCTTTAGAAGGCCATTATACATTCTACCCTTCCACTTTTGAGGTGGAATATTAACTAACCATCAGGAGCCTTTCAGAAATACCATCGTTATCCTTGTTCTGGCACACTACTGCTGATTCCCAGTAGGGCTCTTATGTGGGTTCACTCTATGTATATATCTTCTTGCTCTATGATGATATTTATTTTCACTTTAAGGAAAATAGTAGTCTTAAATTTTTTCCAAATTGCTGTTTTATGGAGTCTCCTTATGGGAATTTTGTGCTTACAGATCCTTTTGAGCAAATGATGCCCTTAGTTTCTAGACTTCTATTCCATAGCTTGGAATACAAATTCTCTGGCTTGCTTTCTCAAGTTTCTGACTTCCATTCTTTCTGTCAGCTGATGATTATGGAAAAATCTTTTCTTCACCTCTACTCATGAATGAAACTAAGTAAATATACCTTTTACTAGCTAAAATGCATCTCTTTATATTTAACTTTTCATTACTTTGTTGAATTCTTAAGGTATTTTTAGTTCTATGTTTTAGAACAAGTATGGTTCACAACATGGCAGTTGAGTTTTAAATTTTGATTCATGTGATTGCACTACAAGAGGCAGAGCTGTTTAATGAGGTGATGGGCCATTGGCATGGAAGGATGGGATAGGGTTATTAGCAGTCACTCTCAATCAGTGAGCACACTGTCCTTTCTGTTCCTACTTTGCTGTGTAGCTGAGATTTGTAGCTGAGATTTGTAGAGGACTTAGAATGTAGAGTGAAACTTCGGAAACTTCGGAGGTTTTTCATTGTGGTTCTATAGTGATAGTATTGATAAAAATAAATATTACAAGTGGCTGTTTTAAGCATTTTCCTTTAAATGCTAACTGTAAGTGATTGCCTTTCTGATTTTGTTCTGCAAATGAGGTAAAGTCCAAGCTGATATTGGTTCTGAAGTTTTGTTTCATTCATGTAGAAACTAGCAATATAACAGTTTTTGTTAATCAAGTTAGTGGAAGGTTTGGCATATGGAAATTCTATTGCTTATGGAAAGTTCTTGACTAACTTTTCTTCCTTTTTCCCACCTACCTTTAGAATAGAGGAAGATGGCCTTCTGGTAAAGCCGTTCCAAAAAGCAAAGCAAGGCAGTGTGGTTCACAGGCAATTCGCAGCCGAAGAATGTGATAGGTATCTTTTATATACTGCTTTTGTGAGATATTGTTTACCTTAAGGGAAAGATAGCTTTCACTGAAGCATGTTTGTTATTATCAGGGAAGAAGCAAGAAAAAGAAGATTTCACTTGATATCGATGAGTGCTGTATCCTTCTGTTTCATTTTTCTTCAAGTTTGAAGGTGGGGCACAGGTTATCCATTATGGTAAAATACTGGGATTTCTCAGTTATGACAGTAGTTGACAGTGTAGTACCAGATACTGAGTCATTCTTCAAAAGAGCTACTTTTGTTGTTGAGATACAAGTTAATTGAAAAAGAAGGCATATATAGTGTTTTTATTTTTGAAGAGACTTATTTTCTGAATAAATAATTACAAATTTTACTCAAATTGTGGTACAAAATGTGTTTCAAATTATGTCTCTGAGGCCAATGTATTCTAAAAAGCATTACATAATTTTCCATGATTTTCATCTCCAAACTAAAGCATACAACCTTTTACTCTTGTATGTCGACGGTAAAAATGTAATAAATTGTTCCATTTTAGTAGCCAGACTATTTTTATAATGCAGAAATACAAACCTGTTTTAAACCAAAACTGCAATACTGAGAAGCTGTTGTCTAAATTACAGCTGAGAAAATAAACCAAGTTTCTGTGTATATGAGTACAGAGCATGTTTGATAAAGGAAGACAGTTTTATAAAGGTCTGGCAGCTGAATGAGATTTTAAACATGAAATTGCCTTGAATTCCTGTATTTCGAAAGTAGCTTCTATGAGTGGTTATTAAGTAAAAGTTGCTAATTAATTCTGTTCTTTCTGGAAATTACTGAACTGTTTGTGAGGAAAAAAATGTCTTTCTCTTAAGTATACAAAAAGTTTTTTGGTTTTGTTTTTTTTTTTTTAGTTTTAAGCTATGGTAAAACAAAAGAAGATAAGTTCTGGAACAATCCTTAATTGCTTTATTCAGTATGAAAGACATAAAAAGTTAGTGCATGACTACATTTTATACTATGGTGGCAAAATAGAGGACTTCCGACGAACTGGGTGAGAACCATTAGCAAACTTTCCCCTCATGACCCTAAAGCTTCCCTGTTATGTCAAGCTGGTAAATGTATATTATAGCTTTAGGGGCAGAAGTGGATGTGGCTGTGTGTGAAATTACTAATTTTTTTGGTCAAAAATGGTAACTACAGTAGTTGTAAATTGTAAATCCAAAAAAACAAAATTGCATTGTTTCATTTTTTAGATAAGACCTTACCATGAGCTGAATTATTCTTGTTTTGTTATGCAAAAAGAAAGATGACAGGTGAGCATTAATTGAAGGTACATTGAGAAATATCTGTCAGTACCTTCAAAATAACAGTCTGAAATACTTTTGAAATGTGCAGAAGTGCTATCCATTGTCCAGAATAATGATAACCTTCTTTAGAGATATATATAACTGCCTTTTAAAATTACTGTCTTCAATAAAGAGTATAAAAAGTGTTTTCAGATAGGATCAAGTCATCCACAATTGCAGTGGCCATTTTCCACCCTGAGTTTTTTTTGGTTTTTAGGGAACAGGTATGCCAGGGAATACATTTTTGGTAGTTTTATTTCATAGCAATGTATTCCTTTATGCTGTGGGGTGGAGATCATAACTGTGGAATACTGATGGTTACCAAATTATTATTTCATGGACTTTTCACTTTAATATTACATTGTACTAAAAAAAAGTGTGTCCTTTTATAGAGCAAATGACAAGACGGATCTTGATGTTATTAGAGAAAACCACAGATTCCTGTGGAATGAAGAAGACGAAGCAGACATGAATTGGTACTGAAAATATTATAGAACATGTTATTTTTAGATCACTTGTACTAAATTTGTAGTGTCCCCTACTAATAAGAATTACTGTGCATACTTAGTGATCATTCTTTGATCTTTGATGCATTTGAAAATGAAAGACCATTAGGAGGTCTTTCATATTGCGATATTGCTCAAGTGGCAACATGAGTTGATGACAGAAAAACTAATAAATAATTGTGCATTCTCTGAGATTCAAATGACTGTTCTGAAAACTCTGAAGAAATCCGAGTTTGAAAAAACATAGTTTCGTATGTATTGCAGATTTATTTTATGTATATTTTTCCAATTTTATGGAAATTACTCCTTAGTTTAATAAACATGTATCTGTTTCATTTCTCTGCAACTTGTGTTCTTTGCATGAAACAACATGTCTTGTTAATGTCATTACAATGTAAAGTTAATTGTGTCATGTTCTATATTTAATTAAAAATACCTTTTGTTATAGGGAGAAGAGGCTTGCAAAGAAGTATTATGATAAACTGTTCAAAGAATACTGCATAGCAGATCTCAGCAGATACAAAGAGAATAAGGTATGTTTAATTATTGTAAATCACACTGGTTTTGAAGTATGTCCTTTTTAAAAATTGCCTTATAATTGTGGATACGTTGTGAAACTGGAATGTTGTACCCCTTCTCTAGAGAAAGAGTTGTGAGAATTTGTCAAGTTACTTAATAAGCAGCAGCAGTTTGAATCCAAGCATTGTCACTGCCCCAAAAATGTGCTTCTGTGGGAATACGAGAATTTCTGTCAGATGGTGTTTTATGAAGAGGTACATTGTGTGTGAAAAAGGCAGAAAAAGCAAAGGGGTTAAAGGAAGAAGGCTACAGAGGTTGCTTGGAGAGGAGCAACAGATGAAGCCTAGAAAACCCCGGAATGTTACTGTTAAAAAAAAAAAAAGTCTAAAAAGAGTTTTGTACTTGAATGCTGGCAGAAACAATTTTGGAAAAGTCTATTCTAAAGTAGCATCTTTTGCTGGTTGTTCTTTTTTTCTGTTTGTGGAAACAGGATCTGTATGTGCCTTGTAAATAAATAGAATTTCTTAAGAGAAACAGCCCAGTTCCAGCACCAGGTTTTCTTCTTAACTGGAACAGCCTTTATTTTCTCCAAGTTTTTGGCTGACTAACTTCTTAGTCAGAGAGCATACAGGAATTTTCTATTGTGGTTTTGCAAAGAGTGTAGCTAACTCAGATGTGTCTTGATGTTAACACACAGTAACCCAGTGCTGTAAACAGTGTCTATATAGTTCTTTTAGACTATTTATAGTATTGAAAACTACATTAACTGGTAAATAGTTGAAAGAACTGGGCTTAACTCTATTAGGCAGAAAAGATGATAGTCATCTAAAGACAATTGGAACAGTAAAATGTGAACATTTAATTAAAATTAACAAAAATTAAAATGCTGAAGATGCCTTCCCTCCTTTTTTTGAGTAAATTTCATTTTACTTTCCTATAGCTGTTTCATATTGCTCAATGTCCTCTCTGTCCCCTAACTGATTTCCCTGGAGCAGACTTACAGATTTTGTTTCTTTCACTGCTGTGCCAAGTTTCCGTGTGTTTGCTATCTTTTGTGGGAAACCCTTCTGCCCTAGATTTTTTGTGTATGTGTGTTGTGTGAACAGTATTTCCCTGTCAGACTTCAAGTGTGTCTGTCCTAACTTTGAGGTCACTCTTAATTCCCATTTATACACATAAGTCATTACCTATATTTTTGGAATTGCCATGTCAGCATAACTGCTGTGTCATGTAGTTCGTAAAATATTTATGCTTTCTGTTCTCAAATACATTCTGATCATATGAAAGTCCTTTCTTAGAAATTCTGAGAAAAATAGGAAAAACAAGAGATTTTTTTCAATTACTGATTTATCCATGCCTATGTTTGGTAGAGAAGGATTTCAAAGCAGGCTTTTTTCTTGGAAGTCTGAAATGGGCTGCTGATCCCATTCGCACCGATGGAATGCAGTCTGTGCTTTCAGATTTTTCCTGCCTTGATTTTTTTTTTCTGCATTTTTAGAAACTGTTGGATATCTTTAGCCCCTTGTACCTTCTGTTTTGCAGTGCTGGTGCTATGAGAGGTTGCAGGGTGGACAACAAGCTTCTTAGCTGGCCAACTTTTTGTATGATAGTTGTTGATGCTTTATATGATGGTACTTCATATTGATATAAGAAAGTGGAAGCATTGATTTGCTGGAACAACCTCCCCAGTGGCACGTTACAATCCCCACAGCTGGAGGTTTTGCAGGTGCAATTGCACAGGGTGCTGGATAATCTCATCTCTGCCCCCTTTCCCATGAATAGTTGAACAAGGCTGAACAACAATGGTTGTCGAGGTGCCTTCCAGCCTGGGCTGTTCTTTGATTCTGTTGGTTCTATATCCTGCTTAGATGGTGTCAAAGTAAAGTTGGAGGTCAGTTTTCTGTAATGTTTTAAACGTTTATATTGCACAGATTGAGACTTGCTCATACATGCTCATCTGACTTTTCACAGCTGTAATTGTTTTGCTCCAACAAAGTCTTCAAGTCAGATAATTTTTCTAAAGATCTCTGCATAGAGATTGTAGCTCAGATCTCTTTTGGAATTTTTCTTCCAAGAAAAAACTATGTTTTCCGAAACACTGGATAATTATAAGGGCAAGTTTCATGGGAGCGTCTCTCCTGAGGTCTGAAAAATAAGCAGAGCACCTTGTCAAAGGCTGAAGCTCAGAAGAAAACAGTAAGAAGCTCTAAGATATATGAAATGTGCAACCACATTGCAGTTGCTGGTTCAGACTGTTTCACTGACATGCACACATGGCTGTTCACTGACATGCACACATGGCTGTGCACACACACACACACATGCGCACACACACACACATGCACACACACACACATCCGCACAGAGATGGCTGACACTCCCCTAGTCTCGCAGCACACCCCCTGTGCTGTCAGCCCTAGACATACAGAGGTGTTCTCACACCCAGAGCTGACCCGTGCAGACTCACTCACCCCCCATGCTCCCAGGCCCTTCACCTTGCTGATGGTCTGGCTTGGTCTTCTCTGCTGCTCCCACACTCACTTGCACTCATCTTGGTTGCTGGCACTGCAGTCAAAGAGGACCTTGTGATCCATGATCCCACTTTTCATTTTGTGGTTAGAACATACAATCTTTTCCTTTTAATCAAATGCCAATGTGAACCTCTGGTATGAGGCTACTTAGAGACAGTGTGTTCTGACAGCTATTGCTTTTGATGGGTCTGTTACTCCTTACATTTTCCCTAGATAAGAAATTTTTAGGTCAAGGTTGTCTTTGAACCATCAGTGCATCTTGTCTGCAAGCTTTCAGGCTGATAAATGACCGTCTGTATTGTCAGATAGTTTAATTCTATTGTCAGTTTTGTGATGCAGCAAGGGAACTGCATTAGCTCTACTCTGCATCTAAGCTTTACTTTGATATGCATTGGACTTGAAATGTTTTCTTCTTGTTGTTGTCTTATTTTTCTAGAAAAGTTCTTATTTGCTGTCTCTGCTTTGTTTTGCAGCTTAACAGATTGGAAATGTCTCCTATTGCCAAGAAATGAAATCTGTTTGACACCTGGTCATTAAATAGAATACATTTTATTCTTTTGTTTTTATTTCCAGATTTCTAGGCCAACTTGTCTTCCACTTGGAAATGTTAATATTTTTGCTTTTGTAATTGTTTTTCAGTATGGAGACTTTCCTGTGAAAATAAAAATCTGTAAAGTATTTTTATAAATAAAATATCATTCTGGCAAGCAGAGGCAGAGAGATATATTTAATTAAAAGAGAAAGAAATTAAATTTTTCTGACTGAGATTGAATGGATGAACCACATGCAGGAAATCAATCAACTGAAATGATTCTTTCTGATACTGAATACATTGAGTATTTACAACTTAATTTTGGTTCTTAACAGTTTGGATTTAGATGGCGACATGAGAAAGAAGTAATTTCAGGAAAAGGTAATGCTATCTTTCATTTTTTATTACATTTCTTGATGCTTTTTGACATAATTTTGTTAGACGGTATTTGACAATACTGATAAGTTTATCAGATAATAATGGACGATAAATTGACTTAACTTCCAACTTTGCTGTTTTATGCACATAGGTCTAGACTGCACACTGATCTGCATATTTTAACCTTAAAAGAACATTTGGTTTATTCTCAAAAGATCAGATTTGTAGTGAACACCACCATAACGCATTTGATAATGTAGAATACTCTTAATTGAAGTGTCTCAGTACATTTCCTCAGGAAATTATTTATTAATAGTTTCTCCAATGCTGTTCTGCAAAAGGTTAACTTTTTAATCAAAGTTTCTTGTGTGATGTCTGTTTGAGGTTAAATTGGAATTGAAAGCCTCAATGGGAATAGTGGGAATGGTTATCATGTCTCCCAGTCCTGTTTCTGAATCGGCAGCTTAATTCTGTGTGTGAATTCTTACCAGTGTGTTACTGGGACCTTGCACAGCAGTCCCCATTCCATGGCCTAGGTGCTTGGGCATTTTCAAGTTGCTGAACAAGCAAGAAAATGAGATGAATAGATTACTCTTCCTGTGGGTGGATCCTCATACGTGTGTAGTTTTCGGAAGTCATGGATGCAGACACAAGAAAATTGTATGGGGTGATATTGTTGATCAGTGTCTCTCAGCTACAGTTTTGTGGAGAGCTGCATTCTGTAAACAGCTCTATTATAGTATACTACAGAAAGTTAAAAAAGAATTATGTTTTTAAAAATATGTATTTCACATTAGGAAGTGTAAACATTAATGATGGGATTTTTAAGCTATAAAGATTAGAACTTCTAAAGGTGGTTGTAGTAATATGTTGCATTCAGCACTACAGATTGTGTTACCAGATAGTTACATTTGGTGCTTTATTGAATGCTTTAAAAAGATAATTAAAATTAAATGAGAAATAAATTATTTTTATGTCTTCATGGGGGAAAAGAATTTAAAGCTGCATTGTAATTTTAATATCTGGTACTCCATATTTTAAAATGTGGCAAAAGTGCAGAATTACAAGTTTCAAGCTTTTTAATGGAATGCTGATGGAAAGCGTACAATGGAATATAAGAGTTGATAAATCCTCCCTTTCACCACTGGAGGGCGGGAGAACCCAACGCGCTCACGGATGTCGGACTCTCTTCCCGAGTGCGGTTCTAAACTATCCTTTAAAAAAGGCGTGGGTCTTCAATGCTATTTTCAAATATAAATCAGCAATATAAATTGATTTCCTCAAATCTAATAAAACGTTATTACCTGCCTGTCTGATAATTTGCATTGTATGTACTTAATTTAGCTGTGTCAGTAATAGTGGTGATGAGAACCACTGCTGGTGCCTTCAAATGTTCACATTGCAAGTGGTGTTTCATTGCAGAACTGAAGTATCTGAGGACACTGCCAATCCACTAGTTAGCAGCTTAAGCAGAATTTTCTGAGGTTAATCGTTCACCAACAGTCCTGCTTGTGAGCCTATTAATACACATCCTTCACATCCCTTCTACCAGCCCTGTATACAAATCAGGCTTCTGCAAAAGGAATATACGTATCTTTATTTCTCCAATATTAGGAAGTCAGTGCTGTAAACAACATTGGTTAGGTGCAAATTGTATTAAAATCATTGTTGCCTTTCACATAATGAACTGAAGGAAGCTATTAAAGCTGACATATCATTTCTCACAAAATTGGATTTCCTTTTCTTGAAAGAAAGGTGTTTATGAAAGGTCATTAGAATACAAGTTGTATGTCTGGTGTGTCAGGTAAATTAGATAGGCAATAAGAATGTGGGCATCATTTGGTATGTACGTGATACTTTCAATAGTTTGATGTCATTAAAGATGCATGTCTGTATCACACTTCCTAATCCATCACCACTACTAAGTAAGTAATTATTTAGGGTATAGAATGTCTCCTAGTAACATTCATTTTTTCAGAGTTCAGTATTAGGCTTATTATTTCTTAGTTTATCTTCATCCATAGATTTCAAAACACAGTTCCAGTTTTGTTTTTCTTTGCAAATAGGCAGCATTAGGCAAGTTTGATTGATTGACTGATTGATTGCTTTGTTGTTCTCTGTTATTGTTTCCTTACTCTAGATGTTATTTTTAGATTGGCACTCTTTTTTGTTGGAAAGAAATGGAACACAAAAATCAAAAACTGAGCAAAACTGGAAATAACAAGCCTAAACCTATGCATGTTAATCATTGAACCACACTTTGCTGGTTTTGACCTCTTTACAGGTCAGTTTTCCTGTGGAAATAAGCACTGTGATGAGCAAGAAGGCCTGAAGAGCTGGGAGGTGAATTTTGGTTACGTTGAGCATGGTGAAAAGAGGAATGCACTTGTGAAGCTGCGTAAGTCAGCCCTTCAAGGATATGTACACTTAAAAGAAGAAAAATATCTCGTGCTTTAAAAGCCATCGAACAAGACTCAATTATATTAGTTCATGCAAAGTGAAAAATGCAGAATAGGATATAATTTTCTTAATCACAGGTGGTAGTATGATGGTCCTGATTTAGAGAGAACAGCTATTATCATTATATATAATGAAGTTGTTACAGGTTGACCACTTCATACTGTATAATGAATGATGTCATAAAATTAGAATAATCGATTATAAGCTGTTCTGTATACAGGCATGTCTAGTTTTAATGGACAATATGACATTGCAGGGAGGGTTTCAGCATTGTCATTGCTCATTCAGTTACAACCCTTAGGAGTCCTTAGGGTTTTGGACCAGACAACTTCTTGCACACCTTCAACTACGGATTTTAATATTTATGTTTTCTTACAAAGTTCTTATCTTTAATCAATTTCTTTTCCATTCTTGCATCTTGACTGGGATTTTCTTTTTCAGTATTGTGTATATTTTGATACATTCATCACATAATTAAACTTACCATAGTTTACACAGTTACTTTGTGTAAAACAAGCTAATGGTGGCTTTTTGTTTTGTGCACAAGACACTCCATGTAGGAGCACTTGGTCTCTTGCAAAGCTCTAAGACGCTTATGGGTCTTCAGTGTTATTATAGAACAATTTGATCTGTCCCCAAAGATCCATAAAATGTGATGTCTGTACATGATAAGCACTGATACTTTTTTAATGAATAGTTGCCAATGCTAAACCTGTGATCTTTCTCCAGGTTTAGTAAAATCCGGGTTTGTACTGAAGAATTTCGTTGTGGTATTTTCCTAAATCCTGGCTGCAATTACATTGTAACTACAGTTTTGAAGGAAAAGCTACTGGAACTGAAAGATCTACTTCTAAATTTTGTTAATTATGCTTATCAGAATGATGGCTGCAATGTTCTTATTTTCTCTTTTTCAGGACTATGTCCAGAATGTTCCTACAAACTAAACTTTCATCACCGGTAATGAAATATTTTAAAATTTGGGGGGTGAATTATTGATAGGTTACAGTTATGATGAACAGCAAATAGGGGAAAGACTTCACCTAGATGATTAGGAACTTCATTTATGCTGAACTAGCATAAACGTTCTGTAGTTCTTATAAAGTCACTGACTTGTCCCTGCTGAGAGTTAGGGACTGCACTAACGAAAGTGCAAAACCCCTCAAACTGGAAGAATCCCATCCCTACCACCACAGAAGTTTCATTTGCTTAATTTCAGCCTAGTGATTATTTTTCTTATCTGAACATTTATGCAAAACACTTTTTAAATTTCCCCTCTTGCTGTGTTTCAGAGCTGAAATGCTTTTCCTTTTACTAGAAATAGTGGCTTTATGTGTGAGTCAAGTGACTGTGCTTGGAAAGTTTGAATTTGAATGTTTGTTCTTCTTAAGAATCTTATTAATTGGAGAGAAAATTAGTGTATTTCGAACCTACAAAATGTGTGCATTAAGATTAGATTTTTTTAAATTTGTTTTTTATATAGTATCTGTAATCTTATTGAATTCCACAGCTATTGACACTCAGGTTTTATGATTTTTTAAATTTTGATGTGGCATTAACTTAGTTGCATGTCTCAGTAATTAACCCATACAATTATCTGCAAAGCATGTGAAAGGCAAACCTCTGAGCCAGGAAACAATGATTTCTTTTCTAAAGTAACACAAATCAAATGTGCATCTAGTAGTCAATCCATTTTGAAAGTTAATTCATACGCCATTTCACTAGAGCACTGTGTAGGCAGATATTAGGAGGGATAGTTCATTAACTGAGATTAGTTTGATCTGTCTTGATTTTTGGAGCTAAAGTCGTAAAACCACTTGAGTTCTGAATAAGCATGGTCACACATTTTGACTGTTCCAGAGTAATACTTACTTTGAAAGAATTTCACTGACCTCTTCTTACAAAGAAGTAGGAAAAAGCCTATGTTCTTACAACAAGCCAGTATAAGTAATGCTGAAAATAAAACACATGGCTTGGTTGTTTGCAGCAGCTTCTTAGGCTTGAGAGTCCTCTACCTCAGGTTTTGTTGCTATCAAATATGAAAATATATTTTAAAATCTGTATTAACTGTATTTTTCTCCCTACATATATACAAAGTTATTTACTAAAAGAAAAAAAATCAAAATAAATAAGAATTCGGCATGTTATAAAATTGTTTTCTGTATTTAATATTTGTTTGCCAATGCACTGTTTTTGTTGTCTGTATCAGTGTCATATTAATGAGTTTAGCATTTCCTGTCCTTTGCCTTCAGCTCTAGAGCTCTTGTGTTTCTATAGCACTTTTCTTTTTAAAACCAAATTAATTTTTTCAGTTTAGCTACTGTTAGGTTTCTGAAAAAATGAGAACTGTTTGACTGAATTAAATGCTTCAGATTTCCTGTTGCATAAGAAGTACATATAATAGAGGAGGTGTATATTCATCTTTTTTAAAGGAGGAAAGAAGTCAAAGCACACAAGAAAGGAGGCACAGCTGTACAGGACTCTAAAGAGCCAAAAAATAAGAAGACTAAATTTTCTCGTTCAACAAAAAAGAAGTCCAAAAAAAAGACCCATAAAGGTACATTTAAGTTTTAAACCTTCAGTTATTAAAATGTACAAATGTGTTAGTTGAACCTTAGTTTTTCTATAGCTGCATAGATATAGATGCATAATTATGTATAGATAAATACATTTAGTTATACATAGAGATATGTAACTTTCTTGATTCTAACACAGGTAGTCAAAAAGATAAATTTCTGAGGTAAAATTTCCTAGATGCAAAAAAAAAGATAAATTTCTTATATGTAAGAGAGGGGGAGAGCCTTTTGAAAAATATGCATTACAAGGAAAATTTATCCAAGAATTGGACATTGCATACCAGAAAGGGTTGTGAAGTATTTCATTTCATGAGGCTTTGGGGTTGAAAGCCTTTTGGAAATGTTAGATAACCTTTTTACACCACAGATCTTGGGATAACATAATTGAACTAAAACTGAGACCTTTGCACTCATGCAAAAAAAATCCTTCTACTTCGGTATTTGCTTGCTTTTTTTGAGTGTGGTGTGTGCATGTTTGTGCACGTTTGTGTGTAATACATTGTGAAACAATGTGTGTGAACAACTGTGTGTAATCCTTGTGAACAATTTAAGATAACAGATAACCAAGGTAAGCTTACTATTTTTTTTTTTATCTTGGTGCTTCTTTACAGATCAGGTTTCTTCAGAAGATTCAGATAGTTCTGATAAAGGTAAAGTATTTTAATATCTCTTATGTTTTTGTAATAAGTTGTATTATTTCATTTGTCATTGATCTTAGTTTTATTAGCTGACTTTTTAATTATTTTATAAGATAAAAATACTGCGTGCAAACAAACAAATATGAAGGTTCAGATTAATTACTTATATATCCTAGAGAAAAACTGTAGGGAATTTTAAGAAGGAAATTGTTTAAGCAAAGAATGAAAATGTGGGCAGATAACAGAATAGAAATAATCAGAAAAATGAGAAGTCAGACTGTTCCAGAAAAGAGTAGAGGGTGCAAAAATAGGTACATTATTAATTACATGGGTCCAGGTATGCAAATGTATGCTGTGTAATCTGTGCTGTGTAAGGAAAGTACTTTTCTGATATAATAACTAGTACATTTTCCTTCACAGAACTGTATGTACTCTGCTCAAAAAAATTAAGATTTTAAATACATCCTAGGCTTTAATAAAGTCTTTTCCAGCTACCACCAGTAGTACCTCAGAGACCTACTTGTTGCACGAGCACTCAGTCTCAGTAACTCTTTAGGCACTGGTTGTCTCTGTAGCTCAGTAATTCCAGTCTCCAGTTTCTTTTTGATTAAAAAAGCCCCATCTCCTGGTCATGCCAATTCTTGCTGCAGACTGTCTAGAAGGGATTGAGTGTTTCTACTGATTTCTGTGCTCTGCTGTACGTTTTTAAGGATGTCTTGAGGCTCCAGGTTTTCACAGTTAGCTACAGGAAGACCTGAAGCAGTTTTCTTATGACTTGGACCATGCCCAAAGTTTCTGTTTTGCCAGGAAAGCTTTATTGGAAGATCAGTTTTTTCTAGGTCAGTGCATGTTTCTGATACGAGTTTTCACTCCTATATACCTACACAAAACAGTTAGGCAGTAATCCGTGTTTTCTGACAATTTCACTGGTAAGTCACGATATAAATAGTCATTTAAGTAGAAATAAGGTAATTGATCCATTTGATGTCATTAATTGAAATTCTATTGTAATTCTGGGTTTGCGATTGTTTGATTTTAGGAACAAAGTGCTGTGCTGCTGTTGTGTTGAGAGCAGTGTTTTCACACAATTGTTGTTATGTTTGGCCAAAATGTTAGTTCATGGTATCCAAGACTCTTTTTGATGCTACATTGATTAAAGTTGCAAAACATTTTCATTTTCATTTTATGCAAGGTAAAGTGCTAATTCTCATGATTGTAGTTAAACATTGCTCCTAGTAATATACCATCTAAGTAAAAAAAAAAGATTAATTATTTTACAACTTATTTAATAAACACTTTAAATTTTTTAACAGATTCTAATAACAGCGATGCAGAAGATGGTCCTTCAGATGCTGACTTTTGGAAAGGTCCCCTACAAGATGCAGATGAAAAATCACGGTTAGTTTGATCGTGTGAACTTGTAGCTGGTAAAATGTACAGTGTCCATTCAGAACTGCAAAGGCAGAGATTTTTCCTGAGTGTTTCAATGAATAATCTGACATTTAAAGTTATGTCAGATCTTTTTTCATGCTAACCTAAGAATGTGTTTTTAAAGAGGAGTCATACACAACTCTGGATGAAAACCTTTCTCAAACCACTGATACCACTGCTGTCTTACCTTCTACTATGCTGTTAATTATTTTAGAAGTAAATCCTAACAGCTCACTACTGTTCCTCAGTCAAGAAATTGTGAAGGATATTGGAATAATTCAAAATTATCTATACGTTCTACGACTCTAAGAAGAAGTTTACTAAATATTTTTCATACAAAGATTATCTCCTAGGTAAAAATCCAAAGCAGAACTGTCTTTGACATTTTTGTTGTTGTTGTTCTTACAGGGAGGAGGAGTTTGATGAGTATTTTCAAGACTTGTTTCTCTAAACCTTGAAATTGATATAGGCTGACTTTCTTCATGAATTGTCAAGATGGAAGTCTGGAAATCCAATCATAATTTACCCGAGACCTCTTTCTTCCAGCATACTTTTTCTACAGTCACTCATATGAACCATTTGGGTAGATTATCTTTGTAGAAGGCTTCAAATCTAAAAACTTTGTCTCTTATGATAGTTTGCATACTCATGAAACAAGAGAAATAACTCTTTCAGTGCAAGAGATATATGGCACCCAGACTTAAACAAACAAGAATATGGTTTATTAACATTACATCAGAAGTTCACTGCTTTTTATTTTATCCCAAACTTCAGGTATTGTCAGATTTTTATGAAGGAGCATTTGTAAGTTTCTGTGAGTAGTTTAAAGCCATACACTTTAATATATTTGTATTTTTAATTTATTTAACAAGAGGTAATAGCCGTAAATTTATTGGCCATGTAGACTTTAATATTCAGGTTTTAGTCTCCGTAAGTATTTTCAAGTGCTATTGGAGAAGTTCAAGTTTTATCAAATATGTACTCTGCTTGAATTAAGTAAATTGTGAAATGTCTCCCATAATCCTTTAAAAAGTTCAGTTTATTGTGACTTTGTTTTAAATTTTAGCTAAAATGCGATGTGTCTTATAATTCCATTTATAAAAATTTGGTTGTATTTTTGATGTAAAACATACGTGTGTGGCTTTCTACCGGAGATGTACATGTGACTTTTATGTTATCTGTGGCTTCTGATCTCCTTTCCATTAATTGAATGTTAATCCTTCTTTAAAGTGTAATCCTAAATATACAAGTAAAGCATGTATATTGCTTGAGAAACTTACTGGATTTGTATTCCTCTTCAAGGTGCAACATATCTTTAAAGATTCATTCAGTTATGTTTCACAAGAAACAGTCTGCACATGAATAAGTACAGTGGGTGTTTTTTTCTGTCAGGTGCAAATTACTTTGGATACGAAGAACAAACTTTTTTAAATTAAATTTTCATGTTATTCTGAGGAAAGTTACTATTGTATAAAATATATCTTTTGATAAGTACTTTTCACTGTAGATATATGTATAGAAAGTATTTATAGTATTTGATGTGGAAAAAGGAACAGCAGAGATGGTTGCAGTGTATTTATGAACATTTTACTCATGTGAATAAGTTGAGAACTCTATTTACAAGTATTACTTAACAAAATTACATTTTGAACAGTTTGTACTTACATAATAGATGACAGTACAAGGACATGTTTAGGGTGTCCTTGAGTAAGAAATAAATGTAACCTTGCATGAAGGCTTCTTTAGGTAAGAAGGTGGATTTAAAGGTTAATTCTCTGTCATCTTTCAAGCTTGGTTGAGAGTCAAATCCAATCTGCAGCAATCTACTTACACGTGTGCAACTTGCCCAAAGGGGTTTTTGTCGAATGTGTTACTATATTTGTTGCTTCAAGTATTGTATATTAAGTATGTGTTCTGGATAACTAACTCCTCTTTGGGTCTTTAAAATACAGTTATAAAAATTTACAGTATACATAGTAAATACATAATTTAATACAGTTTGAATAAAATTACATTATCAAACAACCTTGAAATAGTTTTCTTTAGTAGCTGCATTTAATACAGAAAATAACACATGATATACCCAGTTTTATGTCATAACTGTTTGCATAAAATATTTGGCTCATTTATAAGTCAGGATGTTTTAAGTGTTTGGGGTTTTTTTGTGGATTCCTTTAATTTTGAGTGATAATTGTACACAGTATCTCTGTTCTTAGAAAGGTGTATATAGAGCAATTCACTCATTCTCCCTTCTCTGTGAATACTGAGGGCCCTTCAGAGGGGAAAAAAGTGTGGGTCTTCTTTGTTTAAAGGGGGAGGAAAAGTGGCAGGATTGAGCCTGCATGTTGAATTTGCTTATTGCAGGAATTGCGTTTGACATCCATCTCCTTGGATTTGGAACTGGTTCCAGTGAATACTCAGATCTGTGCATAATATACCAGCCATTTCCCCTCCTCCATCTGCAGGAGGAGCTGGCTTTGCAAGACCTGAGTAGAATGAATGGAGTGGACTGTCATTGTTCAAGAACAGGTTTTGGTAGCTCTTCATTGTTTATGAGGAGCTAATTTGTGTGCAGTCTGTCTCTGGTATTAGGGAGAGGTAATGTGAATTCTAATGTGCTCTACCTCTGTTTTCCTTTCCCTTCTCATTATTAAATTGTTGCCAACTAATTGGTTTTCAAATACTTTAATTTATTGCATTTTCAAAAGGGTACATTGGGAGTATGTGAGCCTTTTAAAATGCTTTTGAATGTAGATCCTACTGTGGATATGCTGGTATCTTAGCAAACTCTCTTGGCAATTTTGAATAAACACAGTGTACCATGGGCTTGCTTTTTATAAACAGAGCCAGGGAATTGTGTTGAGCATTCCTAAAGTGAAGGAGATGTTTACTCTAGAACTTTATATAGTGTTGAGAATGAAGGGAATGGATGGAATTCCAGATTAAGGAAAGACACGTAATATAAAAATCTAAATATACAAGTAGCAATAGTTGAATTTTTTGTTTGAATTGTACACATTAGATTTCATTCCATAATTTCATAGATCTGCCAAAAATTGTATGTTTTCTGGACAGTGTGCAGAATGATCTATTTTAATAAAAACACTCTATGTAAATTGAGTGACATGGAAAAATACCTAGAGCGCACAGTTCACACCGTTATTATTTTCAGTTTTTAATTGTAACCATTTTTTTACTTCATTAAAAATTATTTCCAACAAATGGCAAATGTTTTAAGAGGATTGTTAAGAGATCAAGCTATACTATTCTATGCAAAGCAGAAATCCACTGGGGTTCATTGACGTTCTTTCTAGATGTCTTTTCTGTAGCAGGAACAGTTTGAGACAAAGAATTACAAAACTACACATGTTTTGGATTTTCCTTCTTCACCTCCACCTGGATTTTCTGCTAAAAAACAGATAAGAAAAGTAAAATGAGTATTTTCTGTTAATTTTAGCTGCTCTAATTTCTTGTTATAGAGGTGTTGCTTTTGTTTTATGCATATTATGTGTGTTTGACCTTCTGAAATTTCACTGCTTGTCTGGGAAATAGGAATATGAAACAATGACACATTATATATACATATGTGCATATAGTGTAGGAGTGGATACTAACATTTCTCAAAGGACCAAACACACACTGAACCACTCTTACTGGAAAGTTTCAGCAGTTAAGTAGATATGACTGTCCCACACATACAAAACTGAGGAATGCAAGCCATGCAAAAAAAAAGGAACTCTTTGATCAATATAATCTGTGAATCTATTTTTGAAGCAGATGATACAAAAACTTTAATTTGACCTAATTACATAAACCTTTATTCAACCCTGCGTGAATCCCTTTGTAATTACTGGTTAAAAGAGAGAGATAGTTTTTATATTTTTATCTATAGCTACTGATTCTGTTACTGTCTCTCTCAAATGATTCCACAGATGTTCATTGGTCATAGTTAAGATTCTTTCAATGTAATCAATTGCGTTTCCAGGTTCATTTAAGGTAAGATACCAATATTAGAATTAAAACTTACATTCGAAAGCTGTGGATCACCATGTTACTAGGTCATTTTCGACCCTTTCCACCTGCATTGAAACATGTCACATAATCAGTGTCCTACCCTCTGTAATTTGTGGATATAATCAACACTATGTTACTAACTATGTATTTGATTTTCTCAGTTTAATATTCTGCTCTGTTTTACTTTCTCTTCTGAACTTTCCACTGTAGTGGTTCAGCAAACATGTTTATTTTGTTTTGTGTCTGCTGAATGGCTAAGAATAGCCCGGTCAGTGTGATCTAGAGAAAGGACCATGGTTCAGCATGTATCAAATTCTTGTTTGTATGAACTGACTTAACAAACCCATATATTTACATGGCCTTGATTTGACAGTGTCAGATCTGTCCTTCCCAAATGTGCATGGCCTCATTCCAGTGTGTGTTTAAAAAGATGCAGAATAATTCCCTTTCTTTTTGGGATGCCAATTATTCTATGCAAAGGCCAGATCCTTGGCTCCTGCAAATCAGTCTGTGCTTGGCTGTTTTCCCTGTGGGAAAATACTTCCTAAGTCAGTGGCTTAAGTGATTCCAAAATACCAATATTCTAAGATGATCCTAACTTCAAGTGAGAGTGGAAATACCCAATTCTTCCTAAATGAATTATTTCGTTTTTATTTAAGAAGCTTATGCTTAAGGGCATAACATCTGACTTTAGTAACTATACTCTTTACCAAGAAAGCAAATATGTAAGGAGGTTTGAAGTTGTGTGAGGAGATCCCAGATTGTTTTGTTTTGTCTTGCTAATATTTCTGTGAAGTTCAGGTGCTTACATTCCAGTGTAAGGAAAAGAATACTTTTTATGTACTGACAACCAGCTAGTTCTCAGCAATAAATTAATCTTAAGTAAAATTATATGAGCAATTTCAAGAAAAAAAAGTGTCATTGAAAATAAATTTGGGACACAATTTGGAGGGTGTAATTTCTGTGAAAGTGTGTGTAAGTGGTATCACAGCATGAGCAGGCCAAAATATTTGACTCATTTTATTAAACTTTTCAAAAAATCTACTTTGATTAAATCATGTAATTTACAGTACTTTTTAAACCACTTTGCAATAACTTTTAATTTTTTTTAAATTTTATTTTAACCTAGTATCAATATTTTTAGGAGCCAATAATCCTGGTTCCACTTCACACACTGACAGTAACTTGATGGGTGGCCTTGAGTAGCCCCTCTTTTGTGTGAAATGTGAAGAATACTCACCTATTTCCCACAGACCCTGATGAGCAAATAAATTATTCAGTACTGTTTTATGTTTTAAAAATGTGAAACACAGAGTAAACTAACTTTTCTTCTTCAAACTAGCTGACAATTAATCACTTTGGCTTAATCACACATGGTTTTGTTTTAATCTCTGAACCAGTCATCTCAGTTGATTGGCAGAGCTGTTGACCTGCTGTTGCACATGCATTACAGAATAAAAATAACTGACTCATTTGACTCTTACACTGGAGTGATAGGTTCTCAGTTTCTGTAAAATCAGATTCTCTTCTAGGTTAGGATATGCAGAACCATGCTTTCAATTTCAGGACTTGGACTCTCTTTGGAAGATTAGTGTTAAATGTGTAATATGAGAGAGTGTATTTCAGCCAAGAAACTTGTGGTAGGGAATTAGAGCCCAAAGCTTTATCTTAAACTTGGAAGAGATTTGGGGATTTGCAGTGCTTTTTTATGTTCCAAATGCATACCTTCCATTCCCTTATGTTTTTCATTTCCAACTTAAACAAAGCACCTGAATACATTTGGGGTTGGTGCCACGCAGAATTTTAATACATATCTAGTATTTCAGATAAGCATTTCATTACATTCAATTTTAAGTCTTTAGGCAAAAGAAATTTTACATTCCCTTCACGTTTGTGATGGTCATGTTTTATATAATCCTGCAGTTTGGAAAATGAAGTCAGCGTACTGGATTTGTGTCATCTTTAAAGTTTACTCCTCTTCCAAGTAAAGATAAAGCTAATTTGGCAAATTCAGAACTTGCATACTATTAGTATAAAGTAATAGAATATTGCACAAGTGCACTGCATGTGTGAATTTGAGAGAGAGAGAGAATATGTTGACTGCCTTACAAATATATGTAAATGAAAATCTAAGAAGTTACTTAACCTTTTTGGGCAGCTGCTTCTTCTTCCTTTTTCTTTTGTTCCTCAATAGCTTTCATCTTCTCGTCATATTCATCAGCTCGTGTTTTCCATTCAACCCTGTTGTTTTGAAGACCATCAAACATAGGTGTAATTTCCTTGTGAAACCTTGAGAATTCCTGTGCAAACAATTTAAATTAGTACATTAAAAATTTTAAGCACTGATGAGTTGTAAAACCTGAAATTGTGGAAATACTGCTGAGAAAGCATTTAATTTTTCTGTTAGATCTAATTCTAAGGCATATTATTGAAAATACCATATCGGGATAATAATACCCTATTGTGCACATAGTCTGTTAGGAAAATATTGGAATTGTATACTTCACATTTTAGTATCTTCCCTAGTGCTACATATGATAGTCTGACTCATATAATACAGTTATAAATATGATACACGAGATTTTATTGTATAATTATCAGGAAAAAATAAAAAAGTCTATTATCCTGTAGTATATTTCAAGCAGATGAGGATATATCTGAAGATGTTAAAATATTACATGTCACTTTTCTGCATGACTCTTTGGGATAATATAAAAAACTAGACAAGGATTAATAATGTTGACATTTCAATGCCTTATAGAAGGTACAGAATATCTATATGTCCAGAGTATTTCAAGTTTTCTATTCCCTTTGCTGTGCCATTAACTGCTTTCTGTAACCGCCGCATGTTGTTTGCTTATATTAAATGGGACTGTGAAAAATCAAGCTGGACTTTGTAACTCAGTCGTTCAGGGTAATAACAAAACCTCAGCACCTTCAAGTTTCACTGGTATCTTCCCTTTATGTGAATTTGCTTCACATCTCTTGCATTTGCTCTGTGGGAGCAGTTCTTTGAAAATTTGAAATCTTTGAAAAATTATGACAGTTGTGATGGTTGTTCACCCTGTGACCAAGAGTCCTGCTGCTGTCTAGAATTTTTTAACTGCAACAGCTTGTCACTAATTGTGCCATCAGAACGGAAAACAAAACCAGTCACTCTTACCTTGTACACAAATGTACACACAAAATCTATGAAACCAACTTGGAGCTTAGGTAGTTCATCTCCTTTGTTTCTGTCCATCATAGGCTAGAACAGAAGAGCAGCAGTTTAGAATAAGTAGATATCATGCTTTTTGGTATCATGATCTAGTAAGCATCATAGATGTTTTAATGACAGTTAATATTGCTTAACACAGTTAAATTATTTAGTACTTACAATAGGTTGTTGCTGTAGCACAGTTCGTTCCAGGTCACCTTGCTCCCAGAATTCGTTCGCAACCATGAGGGCAACCTGAATAATCACAATTCAGTGGAATTATCAGCAGAAAGCAGTAAATTTAAATAAATAAAAAACCAAGGCTTTCCAGAAAATGGGGAAAAAAAACCTGTCAATTTTTTTCAGCAGTACTATCTGCTGTACTGAAGGCTTTTTCCAGCAAATTAATAATATCCTGATGCATGCTGAGTAAATGATAGATTATTGTCAATGGGAACAAGGCAATATTAGCAACATAACAGTCTTGTAGTACTGCAAAGTATAGAACTCAAGAAGACTCCACAAGCATCCTACAGTTGTATTTTGATTATGCATTGTTAAAACATATTCCTTCCTGTAAGCCTAAGTGATGTGCTTCAGCAGGATGGTCGATAAGCACTGGAGTACTTGAAGTACTTATGTACCATTCTGTATTGCAGAATTTATTTTTAGCATGTTTAAGCTATGGCTTAGCAATGGCACCGAGATCTACAGAACAGACACAATTCAAACCATACTGTTGTTAAATCTGTACCTTAAAAATAGCTGGAGAGCAGTAAAAGTTGTACAGCACAAAAATACAGCTGCCAGAATTTGGGATACCAGTTTTAGAGGAAGGACAAGTAGAGAAAGATTGGCAGCCTGTGAAGTGGTTGAGGAGAGACATCATGGAACACCTACACTCACAGTGACAAAGATAGAGGTTCTTTTCTGAAAGCAACAGGTACTTAAATATATTTATCAACGGATATTAAATTTTTTTTTTTGACTGATCGTACAACAGATGGGCAGTAAAACAGGGAGTACATCTAGTATTGTCTATTTCAAAAGTACTTACCTTACTCTGCACTTCCCAAGGCTTGGTTATTGCAGACAGGTCACATCCAGTCATCATCATAGCCCTTTGAAAACAAAAAAACAAAATGAGTGTCATTTTGGGTGTCAAGAGGATGGTGTCAGGCTCTTTTCAGTGCTGCCCAGTGACAGGATGAGAAGCAATGGCCATAAACTAAAACACAAGAAATTTCACCTCAACCTGAGGGAGAACAAATATACATTGAGGGTGGCAGAGCACTGGAACAGGCTGCCCAGGGAAGTTGTGGATTCTCCCTTTCTGGAGACATTCAAACCCCACCTTAACATGTTCCTGTGTAACCTGTTTTAGGTGACCCTGCCATGGCAGGGGAGTTGGACTAAATGCATATGTCCCTGCCAAACCTAACTATTCTATGATTCTGTGATAGTTAGGATGATTATTAAAAAAAAAAAAAAAAGAAGTCTGGATTTTAAAATGAATTTAGATACCTAAGATGGAGATGGATGCACATTTTGCACATTTTGAGAAGATCGTAGACATCTATTTTAAAATCATGGTTATGCTTGTCATTGGACAATAACATCAAGTCTTAATTTGCATGTTTAGGAGCCCAAATTCTTTTAAAACCTAGTTCTAGATAACTGGTTGAATAAAGAGTAAAATATTAACCACCTACATGATGACTTCTTTTTTTGTTGGGTCAATAGATATATACTTAATTGCCTGCTCTTCTGTTTCCATTTTTTCGATTGCATCCACAATCTTTTGGAACATAGTTCTTTTCCTGTTAAAACATACCAATAGAACATATATTAGAGAACATAAGTTACTATATTAATAATTAAATAGAAAACCATATTTACTATATTTGTGCTTTTCCAACTAGCATCCTAGTCATAGTAGTATCAAAGTGAAACCCTCTTGTTGAACTCAAACTTTTCAGGTAACCTAGACATTTAGATTTTGCTATATACTACTGACATGTAAAGTAGTGTGTCAGAATTCTGACAAAGAAACAAATAACCAATTTCCTACCTCTTTATATTAAACTGGGGTGGCATTCTCATTTCTTTAGTATTACATGTGCATTTCTGTACCATACTGAACTGGGAAAAGTGAAGCAAATACTAATAAATAGTCTTTCACTTCCTCCCATCAAAAATCCAAAGAATTGCTAAGACCTGACTAAGAAGAAATTTCAAAAACATAAAAAGTATCTTGCTATTCCTTAATAAATCTTCTAATTTTTGTTTAGAATCAATGAAAAAATGGAATTACTGTTATTTAAAATTTAATAACTGCTAATAAACAACTTTCTGAATTTTTTCCTGTCTTTAAATTGTCCCAATCATAAAACAAAAGGCTCCATATATCTTTAAAGAAAATACCCATTATAAAAGCACATCAAGTCACTAACTTGGGAACTGAATGGATGATTTGATATTTGAAGTCTTTGGCATATTTAGCACATCATTTGATGTCCGTAGGGTTTTTGTAAACCAGCACGTTCAGCATCCTCTTGTTTAGTGTGAGTATTTACTGTATGGTATGCTAAATATCACATATGTGCACAACGTTATGATTAGGCTTCCGAATCCACACTTCAGGAATAGTGTTTGTTGTAACTAAAGCATATTGAAATGACGTACTGAATTTATATGAAATATTGTATATGTTTATGTTTTCTTTTATTTGTAAGCTTATAATGAATCTAAGAATGTCTTGGTTTTTACAATAATTAGACTTAATAACAATTTTAAGTAAAGTTCTATGCATATAAACAATTAAAAATTGCAGTTATACATTCTATAGGATTGACTTCTTTTCAATACAAAGTTATACAGAATTTAGTACTTACTTGAAATACAAAGCCAAGTCAGTTGCTATTATTGCAACTTCAAATAAGTGTAGGACGGTTTCAAACTGGCGCTTATTTAGGTTCTGGAAGATGTTTAAACTCTGCAAGGTGGAAAGTTTATGAATTCAATTCCTTTTATAACACTGTCTTTGGTTTGTACTATACAGGTTCTTGCAGCATAGTATAATGAAATTGGCCAACTACAGTCCCTAAATGAAAATAATGCTAGAAATTAAAAATTCACACTCCGTAAATCTAATAATCCTAGAATTTTTAAAGCTTTCCAGTAGAGACCTTTTCCCCCTGTTAACCTGGATTGGTACTATTGCCTGCAGTTAGGGGCCTACCATGGTAAGTGCAATGCACTTTTCCTCTAAAAGGGAACGAGACCATCACACTAAGCAGTTTTCTGAGTGTCCTGGCTTTATTTCTTTCTTTAACAGAAGAGACAATGCCTGTGTGAGCACAGGGAGCAGCGATGCTGCTGGTGAGAGCCTCCAGAGGTCCTGACAACTGCTCTGGCCAAGAGCAGGGGTTAGTCCCCAGCATCTCACATTTGAAAAAGTACATTGACATCAATAAAGGTGTTTTGTTTCTTTGTTTTCAGCGAACAAATGCTTAGCATAAGGATTTATTCCATGACCTCATGAGGTCAGGCAACAGCACCACCACAGGGATTAGAAGTGGAAAATGAGGGTGGAAGTGGGTGCCAGCCATGCTGCTGTAAACAAGGGATGGAAGGAGTGCATGCATGCACATCTTGCTTTAAATCGCTTATTTCCATGGAAAATACAGAGTAAAGAGTGTAAATTGTTTCCCTTGCTGCAGCCAGAGCCCGGCGCTGAGGAGGGCAGGAAGGCCGATCCCCGGTGGAGGAGAAGGGCCTGTGGGGCAGCTGGGCCTGGGGACACTGAGGGGAGCATCACCTCAGCAGCGGCTGGGGAAGGGCAGCTGCGGGCGGCTGCCTGGTGCGGGAAGATCAGTAATGGGAGCTGCAGCAGAGCCTCATGAGACCCCTTCTCTCTTCAGCAAGGTAAAGGTGTGGGGTGGGTCTGGCCTGGCAGCAGGGGGGCCTCCATAAACAGCTCCATCCCTTTGTTCCTCAGCTGCCAGAGCCCGAAGCTGAACTGGGTTCTCTGTTCAGGCACAGCGGTTTAATGACAACATGTGGTTGTCATGTATGTATTGTATTTTCTGCTTTGGTTTCAATATCAGCTGTTTTGTGAAAATGCAAGAAACTCTGAGTCACATGAGTAAGGCCCAGAGGAAAAGCTTTTCTATCTGAAGTGAGTCTGTTTCTGGTGGAATTACTGATATTTCTCTAAAAGTGGAAAATGTGTAAGAATTTGGCTTAAACTTCTGAATTTTAGCATAATTTCTTGATCTGGACATAGAGGAATGAATGAGACCCAGTGAAATTTGGAACACTATGGCCTAATTGGATCTTTTGTGTTGATCGTAGTAAGCAGAATGTCCATGACGTACCTCATCTTGCAGCAGGGTTTTACTGTACTCTAGATGATGCCTTTCTAAAATGGAAGAGCCATGAAGTTTTGCCAGTGGAGCAGCTGACCTGTTGAAAAGTAGGCAATTATTTATATTATTTTGAAGACAATAGTTTTTATTCAGGTTTCATGTATTTAGGGTTAAAATGCTTCTGATCTCCATGTTCAATAGTTTAATCTGTATGCATTAACCATTGGTATGACGCAGAGAAAAAAGTCCAACTTGCTTGCCGTCAGTTTTGTGAATGAGTGATGATGGAAATTGGAGAGCACTGGGTGTTCAGTGCTCACTAAAGTCGAAGGTGTTGTTAGATACCTCAAAATGCAAAAGCTGTGTTATTTAATGTATGCCTCTATTTTGTCTTGCATGTTCAGTTTTGCTGTTTGTACAATCTATGCCAATCCTGTGTACCTTAAAAATAGTTTTTATCCATCCTTTAGTGTTTATTTTGTGGTATGGCTTTTGAACTCTCGTATGTCTGTGATGACTGGGATTCTAGTTAACTCTAAGTTAAATCTGAAATAACAGTATAATGGAGTTTAAGTCCTCTAATGCCCTTGGGCTTCTCCCCTCCCCCCAAACCCACCATTTTATGGACCACACAAGTCCTGACAGCTTAGGTGTGTTCAGTCTTATCACAAAACTAAAAGCGTTCCCCTGACATTGGACTAAGCTTCAAGCAGAGGAAATTCTGTGTCAGACTATGATGGTGGGATGAAGGGAGAAGTATCCTCCCTACAAGGGCTCCAGGTGGTTCTGAATGTTTAGAACTGTATTTTCCTCCTTTCTTCCCTCAGCTAATAGCTGTATTCCTCAGATAACCCCGGATGGGCTACATCATACCTATATTTTCTGATGTGATTAAGACTGTTGTGGTAAAGCCTAATGAGTTTTATAAATAGCTTTACTGCGTATGACCTCATGTAGAGGGCTTTCAGCTAGGGAAGACCACAGTAGGAGGATTTAAACCCCACCTTAAACTTGTTTGGATGAGAGGCAGTCCACTGGATAAGAATCAATGTCTGTCATTCTCTCTCTCCTACGTCACCTGGAGAATCCCTGGGAATAATCGGAAAATCCCCCTGCGTCACTGTTCTAGCACAGAGGCTGAAATGCCTCTCCTGTGAGGAGTGTATTCAGGGTCAGAGGGGGAGGATAAATCATTCTGGAGACATAGCTGGTGGAAACTGTAGTCAGAAAATTATAATCTTCTGGTACACGTGACATTTTGAGAAACGTGTGTTCTCTGGCTAGCACTTGGAAACAAGCCCTCACAGATCATGTAAGAGACTAAATGGTCGATTCTTCACTCTTCAAGACAAGAGTGAGTCTCACCATGATATATATCGTTGTAATACAAAGGTAAATTTAAAATGAATTAATATCATTTTGTAACAAGCATCTGCTAATTCATATTGTTTCATAACAAACAAGATAGAAACCACAAAGAAATCCTTTAGAATATTTTCTCAGAACAAGAGGGAGCATGAACTGCAAAGCTGAACCTCCTGATGTGTAACTTCTGGGCATGTGGACTCGGTGGTAAACTCAAACTTGTTAGCTCAGAATCCTGTATAACATGAGGAGGTTACACCTCAGGAGAGGAGCTACATCAGTCAGGAAACTGAGTGTGAGAAGGAACAACTGAGCTAGTCATATTAGGCAGTGGAAAAGAGAGGAAAAAATCCCATCTTACTCTAAACTGGCCCTTGTCTATGTCACATCCTTAAATCCCTCTCCAGAAAAGTGCTTATGCCCCTTTGTCTTGAAAAAGACAAAATGCCCTTTCTCATTTCTTTGTGGCCTCGTGCACAAAGTTTTGTCTACTACAATCCATGCATTGCTAGCGTCTTTTAAAAATGCAGCATCAGGTGACCCTTCTAAGATTCTGCTTTTGCACTTTGTCTTTGTGTTTCAGCTGTCTGAAGTGCTCTGAAACAGAAACCTTCTGTAGCATAATTATTTATTCATGCCAGATGAATATGGAATATATACCTTATATTTTTGCAAGTTTTGACTTTTTTTTCATTTACCACTAAAAACAGTACATTACTATGTTTTTGAGCATTTGTACTTACTTCATTTGATACAAGTTATTGGTCCCTCTGTGATCAATGTCATGGCAGAAAGCAGCAGCAACCATGGCAAAGGCTTCTAGATCAGTATAGTATTTCTTTATTTTACCTGTCTGTAAAAGAAAACAGATAATTCCAAGTGTGTGTCTTCCTGAGTTTCCCATTTGGAATTGAAAGAAAACTAAATAATGAATGTAAGGTTAATATTAGCAACATTACCATCAGTAGAGTAAACATTGTTTGTCCCACATTGAATCCATGTCTCCAGTTATGGTAAGTGATATCTCGATAACCCTTCCTGACTGTGTACATCCATCTCGTAAGAACCTATTAGGAACAAAAGTGATTAAGACTGTGCTGCTAATTGAAACAAAACAATGGAATTGCTATAAAATTACTGGAATATACTATGAATTTACTGTAATAATATGCCAGTTATTTGAAAATAAATGCTTTTCATTGAATTAAACATTGAAACGGCAAATTGTTCTTATAGAAATGCATGTTGATTTAATCCCCTATATAGCTCACACAATTCAAGATTAGTTTTATGTTTTTATGACAAATATGTAAATGTTTCATTAAAAATGGAAGGTTGTTAACCATACTGCTAATATTTTAGTATTATCTACTTCTAGATTAAAGTACCTAAAATCAACTATTTAAAAATAAATATAAACAGGAAAAAATAAACTAAACCTCAGCTGGGACTTTGAACTTTTCAACAACATTTATCTCAAAGAACAGTCGTATTCCACAAGTTATCAGGCCATGCTCTGTAACAGGAAAGTCACTGAAGCGAAATTCATACAGTTCTAAATCTTTTGGATCAGGTAATTCTTCTTTCTGTTAGGAAAAATCAAAAACAAGGGGTTTTCTGGCAAGAACAAAGTTGGAAAAGCTTTTTTTTTTTCATTTTCTTCAGTAGAAATATTGCTTAAGGAAAGTATGCTTACTGTGTCTTCAAAGGCCTCAGGTGTCAGTACAAACTAATGTGTATTAAGTCATGAAACACAGTTGTGATACTGCTGGGTTTCTTCTCAAAGACAATAAATAAAAGCCTTGGAAAGATTCTTCCTACTCTGAATTCCAACACAATTTGTTTTGGCCATCTCAACATTTCCTTAGTTTAGAAACCTCGAGCCTTGGAAATTCTCCTTCCTGGTATAAAATCCAGTGGTTCTCACACTTTTAGCCTGATCTCAAGGGTACAGTTCATCTTTTTCACAACCAAAATTGTTCTCACTGAGTGTTCTTCCCTTTTGGATCTTATGAATAGTGAAGCATATAGTAACCAAAACCAACCTGTCTAGACCAAAACATTTTTTACTATTACAGTTGAATAAAGCATAGCAACAACATTTTGTTTTTACTAAAAAGTTTCCTTGCACGCCTGCCTACCCATAGCCTTGTCTTCTCTTGGAGACACTGTAGGCAAGCAAAGATTCCTGTACATTATTTGACTTCTGGAGTGCTAGCTGTTTGCTTCTGCTCCATAACCAGCCCTCAAAATAGGTCTGTCCTACCTTTTCTTCTGTGATAGTCTCTCTTTGTACTAGTCTATATATACTTAATAGACAAATCGAAAGTGGACTGGAAAATCCTACAAGATCAGATTTAAAAACTCACAAATCTTATTTATGTTTTCATTTGTCTGATGTAGTAGATTCTTGACTGCTTCACTATTGAATGATCTCAGTATATGCACAAAGTAAAAATTGTTACAATTTCTAAATGTACCAAGCATATAGTATGTATTGTTATTATGGTTTATTTAAATCCCTTCAAGTCATTTACTTTCTAGTGCTGTAGTTGCTGGTGATTCTGCCTTTCTGTAGTTTACAGCAGTCTATTCTGAACAGTCTGACCACTGAAGAAAATGAGGGATCATTCCAGAAGTAGTAGACTGTGTAAGTACATAACCTTTGCCCCACGTACTAAATTTCATTAGAAGTTGTCTGGTTGCCATTCCGAGATTTTTCTCTCTCTGAAGGGCAGACACAGAGTTTTGTCCGGCTTGTACTGACAACCTCCATAAAACATATACTAAATTTTAAAATGCAGAAGATACCAAAGTTAAGAAATCCAGCACCACTCTTCATCTGTGTATCCCAAAGCCTAGGGGAAGCAGTATTGTATTTTAAAGAATATGCTCCAATCCAAACAAGAATTAACTGAAGGAAGTCTGATGCAACACTAAGAGTAGATTATATTATTACAATGACTGCCTTCCTCCATAGCAGTCTATAAATGATCTCTACTTTTTGGATAAGGAAAAAAGATGACTGAATGTATGCATGTATTTTAAAAATAAGGCCAAACATCCATTTCCTTCTCCCTGGGTTTTTCCTTTATGTCTACGCAAATCAGAGATCAAGGGCAAAGAAACCTAGACAAGTGATGGTTTAAGACCCATTACTTTGTGAATCATCAGATCTATAAACACCTGCTTTATCCCATTAGGTATCTGGGACTCCAGGTCTTATAATAGGATAAAGCATATGCATGTAGCCTTGGAAGTGCAGATGATATTAGACCTTTGAATTTGTGACTTCACAATGTTGAGAGAACCCACTTTAATTGCTTTTTGGAGATTTAAAAATCATACCAATATTATGTTTTCACATTTGGAGCCTTTACCATAATACTCAGGTTTTGCTCTACCAGTAGAGAAATTTTATAATGTTTATCTATTGTTTTTTGCAGTTTTGCATGCAACCAAAATAAATTTCCTTTAACAGGTATGTGAAGCTACACATGATCTGTTGATATTTTTGTTGCACCACTTGCAAGCTGTCTGAGCATCTGTTTTGTAGAAGCCAGTAAAACATTAACACCAATGCATTCCAGCATGCACATGTACATAGCTAAAAATAGTTTCAAGAGGTCTTTTCCCTATGGCTATGTGTACCTCAGCAAATGTGGTGTAATAGTAGGAAATATGTGAAGTGGTTGGTACGGGAAATCAACAGATTTGTGTGTATTTGACCTTTTTTCTTCAACCTAGCTATGTTTTGATCTATTAACAGTGGAAGTTCATTCAGTGTTTTCCTGGAGCACATCTTTGAGGTTTTTTCAGATAAAGTAGGCCAGTGAATGTGCTCCAGGACTGCTGCAAAAGAAAAGAAGTGCACTAAATGGGAAAAATTAGGAGTTTTCTTTCAAAAAGGCACTTCCTTTCTAGGTTGAAGTACTAAGGCAACCAGAGAACTGCACAGTCTGGAAAAGAAATGACTCATTTTTGTTTTAGTAGTACCAGAGTAGTAGAACAGAGACCTGATTAGGTCAAATCTGTTTTGTCACTGTGAAGTCAGGGATCACTGTCTTTGGACTTCTCCGCCTAAGGAAATGCAGGAAAATTAATCTGAAAGTAGGTTTGTTCCACTGACACTCCTACATTATTCCTACATACTCTCACTGAGAATGAAAGTGGCCTCACTTCAATATCCCTTCTTTTATTTTCAAAATTAAATAAATTAAATTCAATTACAGATATAGCATTGTCTCCATGGATATTTTAAAAGGTTAAACACTTTAAATGTTAATTCATATAAACACTTCTTTATATGGCCTTGACTATCCAAGTCTGTTGATGTATATTTGGGACAGAATGTTTCCCTGTAGGTAACAGTGGGGTCTCACATACAGGGACAGTAGAGGTTGACCATGTATTACTAAATAAGCTCATCTAGCCTGTGGCACTGATAGCTAATGTCAATTGTATTAATCAGGATTTGGCTATATGCAACTTTTTCTACGATGAGGACACATTACTGTCTGACAGAAATACATCACCAGAATTTTCAGTTTAATGACTTACCAAAATCCTGACGAGATCCTTTTGATCACATTCATCCAAACTATTTACATTTAATTTCTCCTTGTATTTCTAAAAATAAAAAAGGGTAAGAAAATTAAGTTTTTGTGTAGCTAATTTCCCACTTTAATTTTGTGGTTGTGTACAGAAACTTACCAGGATAGATTCAACTTCAGCAGGAGTGGCCTTTGTCTGGTACATAAGCATTTCCTGAGCAATGTCTTTCCTGTTTTCAAGCTTGTTCATTTTGTCATAAGTGTCAGTATTTAAAACAGACCACCCTAGGAACTGTGTGAGAGTCTAGAACAAAGCCAAACAAAGCAGAGATGATGCCAGGACAATAAAATGAACAATTTGAACTTACTTTTCTTAGGGTCCAGTTTCTGGTAACACCCTTTGAAAAACAATGTGCCACTCTATTTGTTAGAGGCCTTTATCTTCCATCAGCTGGTTCTGTAAGTACTCATAGCTTTTAATGAGATTGTTTATCTCAGCCTAGTAATTAAGGCCCCATATTCCCACTTTATATAGCAGACTTTGAGGCTTATGAAGCTTAAGTCAGGTGAGTGGACTTGGATACACTGTGTAGCATCTTATCTTGCCTGAGTACATATGATCATGGATATTATGTGAACTCCCATGATCACAGGCTCAATATCCATTGGCAAGAAGCATGCCATTCTGCTTACCCATGGTGACCATGACTAAATAGTCAAATGATTGAAAATAAAATTTTATGTGACTTCTTTTCGTTACTGGCATGTAAATGATCGCTCATAATTTTTTGGTTTTATATAGGCAAATAAAATCTCTGATTCTTAAGAAACTGTATGGTGAAGAAGATAGACATTTGTCTAGATGTTAATACAGCCTATTTGGAAATTTTCAGACATTTAAAATTATTTTTTACTATAGTATTTTTTATTAACATTACATGCTCCTTAAACCCTCTAATCCTATTAAGCTTACTTCAATGATCTGTTCATCATACTCATCAAAAGGCTTTCCATCTTTCCTATTGTAAAATGTTGCAACTCCCACAATTTCTTCTTTTTTGTTGACAATAGGCAATGACAGGACATTTTTAACAACCCATCCGGACTCATCCACTGGTCCTTTCTGTAGGAAAACCAAAAACCAGGAAATGTATATTTCTTTGAAAGTAATAACACAGCTATTGATATAAGCAATGCAACAACAAGATCCATGCATCACAAAGGAGAAATTATTTATGTAATCAACTGTATAACTAATTAGTGGCAAACATTAGCATATTTGTCTACAATATCTATATTGTAGAATATATATATAATTAATTATATCATATCTATAATATAATAAATATATATGTATAAATATATAACTATAATTAATTATATATCTATAATTATTAACATTACTGAAATTACCTGAAATGTGAAGTATTCATCTTCTGGCGCATTCATCATGTTACAAATCTGCAGCATAAAGAAAATGAGCCATTGTTTAAATGGAATGTAACGGGTATCAAGACGTAGCCTAATATTTTAAAAAGGCATGTTTATTTTCTAAGCTAGGAACAGTAAACATCCCAGCCAGCTAGAGAAATTAGAACTTAGTTTTAAAACTTTGTTCCTATTAAATTAGATGTGGTTATTCTACCAGACATCATTCTGGAGTGTTTGTAGCAAACTCCCTCATGTAGGATGTCTCACAGTGCAAAAGCATAATGATTAAGAAAATGACTTCCCGTTTAAAATGGCATGGGTGTTTCTAGAATGAAATAATTGAGTTCTAAGGGCTCTATTAAACATGCCATAGGGTTACTAATAGCTGTCATACATCATGACTTTGAATTACTTATATTGTCTACACAAGAAGATAGAAGAAAAAAAAAGAAAATTTTAAAACTTTGTATGTGATGGGTTTGTTACTTTGACATTTTTTTATGAGACTTTGCACACCTGGAAAGTGACATCGGATGCACACATTATTCCCCCAATATCACCATAATCAGAGGACACTTTTCCAGATGTTTTGGCCGTTTGTGCCGAGGCCTTGTCTCCATCCAGACTACTGATTCACATGGTTTCACTAGGAACCAATGACACTGGAACAGCATGGTATTTTTGTAGAGGATTTTGGTCATGTGGAGGTTTGGGATTGGTTTTTTTTGTTCAATCAGAACAACTGTATGAACTATAACTTCTAGATTTTACTATTGTTATGAACTTACAAGTCCATTTTCAGCAACGTATGTTGGCAATCCACTGATAAGACACCAGTGATCTGCTGGAGGTGACCTTTAGAGAGACAATGAAATTAAATTATTTCTACAGTATAGACATGTTATTCTATCCCAGCAATATATCTAATTACCACACATTTGCAGGGTGCCAATGAATACTCACGGAATGACTTTGATTTCTTCTTGTCCATATAAAAGATAGTCAATAATCTTATAAAAGTTAACTTCCTAAATGAAAAGAGAAAAATATGTAGGTGACCTGTACAACATCAATGTCAAACTTAAGATTCATAAAAAGAAAAATTAGTATCCTTACTCGTCCATCAGGTGTCTTGGGGCCTTTGTATGGCTCTGCCTCCCCCAGCCGGATTGGCCACTCATCATAGAACTCCTGGAAAATGATACACGGGGTTTAGCAAAAGAAAAAAACCAAACCAGTTCTGTGTTCAAAGATAACATCACAACTGTGGATTGCAATTTTGTTTTTTTATTTTTCCGTAGTTTACTATGGTCACATTTCAGACAATATTAAGAAAACATTGTTCATTATAATCCAGGCAATGTTTACCAGTAAATTGCAGGCTAATCTGAATCTTATCTCTAGACAGCTGTACAACTTAATTGTTGTTTTAGAAGGCAGGTATTTCAGACCTGCACTTCCCTCTTCTACCCTTTCTCATATGGAATTATTAGTATGAAAAATTATTTCAAAATTAACCTTCAGATTTATCATGATTGTATCCTTTACCGTGCTTATATTTCACATGTAATCTTTGTAACATGGTTAAATTTATATATAAATTATCCCAAAGGGCTAGAAAGGATGGTAACTTTGTGTCTTTGAGACTTAAGGTTAGGAGTAGGACATTTCTAGCAAGTAGGCAAAATAGTTGTTACCTTCTCTTTAGTCATGTCCAGCAGACCAATGGAGTATCTTTCACAATTCAGATACATTCGAATAGTGTACAGTGCTTTGTGAAACTGCCGCTCTATATCTGTTAGCTCTTCAAATACTTTGTTGGCAGACCACAAAAGCATCTATTTACAAAAGAGAAAAAGGGTAAATATTCATAACAGTGGGAAACACATGCATCCTAGGCATTCCAGAACAAAATGATAAGGTGCATTACTGTTATCATATGAAAAAATAAATAGATGCTATCCTTACTGCAGTAAGCATGCAAGTATATAAAATAGTGGGAATAATAATGGTTTCACACAAAAATTAAGTATTATCATTAAAAAATTCTTCTATACCTGACTTCTTCGTGATTCAATATTGTAGAGATACGATGTGTGATGATTTCTTATGACCAAAGACACAAAATTGAGGTATTTTTTAAATACCTAAAAATGATAAAGAGCAAAAATAAGATTTAAGTATCAAACCAAGGGATAGAATCACTCAAACTACTAATTGAACTAACAGCTATATCGTTGTGTGTCATTTAATGTTATTACCTCTTCATCCTCTTTTGAGAACTCAGGGGCATTTAATTTGTTGAGTGCCATCAGAACAGCAAGCACCTCTTTACCCTGTGTAATTGGAGTTGCCAACATATTGACTGTTTTATAACCAGTTTTTTTGTCCAGCAAGTCAGAAAAATGGTTGTTCTGAAAGAAAAAAAAAATCACAAATTAAATGCGGAACAATTAGTTACATACAAAGAGCAAATGATCATTTCATTTGACAACTTCTGTTTGCAATGCTGTGAGCACAGTTTCACACTTCAGTAGGTTTATACTTGCAAAAAACCCATTTTCATTATTTAAGTCAATCTTGCAGAGTTATATGTACAAGCTTAATTTAGGCATTGGCTATGAAGATAGTTTCTGAAACCAAGTTCTGTGCAGGTCTTTATTATAATGCTGAGGAATCTGAGGAATTAAAAATGAGTGAAAATCTAGAATAAATGAAAGAACAATAAGAACTGCTCCCTGATTACCTGTGAATCTAATACATATGGCTTGCATGTAAAAGATTTATTATTATTTAATTATTTCTGTAGATAAAATTCATTATACTGTTCCAACACTCAGTATTTAAAACTACCATCTGTCCTGGCTAAAAATGCTTCTGGCAGAGAAGCATCCCCTGCACTTACACATGTGGCTGAGCTGTTTCTTATTTTTTCCTGTCTGACAGGCTCCCAGTCCTGTTGCTCCCAGCCCAACATGCTCTTCTGGTGAAAGGGAGGGTATAGGACTAGGGGGATCAGAACACAGAGCTGCTTTTGCTGTGTGTGTGATCCTGTGGGAATAAAACCATGTGACTAATGAATGAGCCACAACTAACTACCCAACCAGTTTCATCCTTAAAACTGAATGCTTAGGAGGGTTTAGCAAAAGTTATTATTTTAAATTTTTAGTGTAAAAAATACTGAGAGGCTAGTTCATGTTTCATGGAAAACTGTTTTATTTCCTCATATCAAAGAAATTCTTGGTGTTTTCTTGAATGGCTTTAGTGTTCTCTTAAAAAAAATAGATTTAAAAATTTTGGGGTAAATCTGTTTGTCAAGGGCTGTTATGTTTTGTGATGTTATTATGAAAATACACCTGAATGAGGTGAGTTATGATTTGGGGGTTGAAGTCTATTGATATGTGCATACTGAGAAGTGACATGGTTCTACTAAGCAGCTAAAATAGCCAGACTGTCTTCACTGAGCCTTTTTTATCCCCTCACATATGCCACTGCTAAAGGGCAGTGCTTAGACTTCTTCAGTGAGATGAGTGGTCAAGCCTTGATCTGCAGTCAATGACAGAGTCTCCTTGAATTTCCTTTAACAAGTCTGCTTCTGATTTCTCAAGGTGATGAGCAGTTGGTGTTAAATAAGAATGTCAGGAGGCAGCAAATGTCCTGGTAACCAGGGAAGGTCAGACTGCATTGGAACACCATGGACAGAAATGGCAGCTGGCCAGAGCAAGCCCAACAGAGTCCTGTTTTAAGGACATCCACGCAGAATCAAGATTCCCAAATCTTACCAGTCTTCTGCTGTTGACAAATGTTTGTAAAGCCACTTATAAAGCAACTGACTTGTTACTCCATGTCCACCCACAAAGCTGGTAAATATTACTGCTACTGATCACTGCATTAGCTTAGGCAGCTGAGATCTGAGTGGTGGATCTCAAGGTGTCTTCCTTGCTGATAGGCTGGAGAATGTTGCAGAATGCCACATAATGGAATTTCAGCTTTCATAAGTTACAGAGAGAGCTGCTTAAACAAAAACCCCAACAAATAAATGTTTTCTAGAGCATAAAATCAAGCTTGACTGTACTCAGAAATGCCAGAACTAAATTTTTTGTCTGCTATTTAGATCTTTCCTCTTAATTTCCTTTCCCCCTCTTTGGTCTAGCAACTTTTTCTAGTATATTTTGAATTTATAGCATACACAGCCCTGAGAAGGAAGACTGAATTTTATTATGTGATCAAAATATTAGGGTTGGATTTTTTTTTCCCTTCAGTTCTTCATACTCTTTAGATAGTCTGTCTTCTACATTTGCCTTTTATGTTTCCTTCTAGAGCTGCATTTTGGTGAAAGGAATTAAATTTCTGGAAGTAACTCTTAAATTTCTTTTCTATATTTACAGCCTGGACTCTCTTACTGAGAGTTGATTCTCTTAAGGACAGCCTGTGTCATCCTTATAAATAGCATTAAATGTGTCAGGCTGTGTTTGGGTCCCTGGAAAGTGTAGCCAGTTTTGAATATATTGTCCACATGAAAAGGGGATGTCTTCTCTATTTTTTGACAAAATTTCCCTGTTTTGCTGTTTTCAGTTTTTCTCAGAGAAAGGCGTAGGGCGATCTCATTCAACAGACAGAAAATGCCAATCTATCTCTTCTGTGTAAGAATCAAATAGCCTGCTAAATAAATATGTTATTACATGGAAATACTTGGTTTTCTCTGAGATGTGCTACCTACTGACATAACCATTCTGGACTTGGATGTGGTTTTGGGCTTCAGTAACAAATTGTAAATCTCTGTTTTAGCCACTGAGAATCAAGTAAATCATATAGATAATTTAACCCTATTTTGTAGTCCTTCTGCATCACTAAGAGCATCTAGCATGATGGTGAGCCTCAAGTTTCTGGTTTTAGGGCACTGTGTACTGCTATGAGGGAATAAATAAAAATTTCAGACACCCCTGTATTTCTGAATGCTTAAAATGGATGTATATATACCAAAGAAGCTGAATCAGCAGGACACAGCTGCTATGTCTTTGTTCAATAACTCCAGGCTGAAGGTACAAGCAGTGGTGTTAAGAAGTGTTCAGAAGCAGCAATTTGGTCATGTGAATTTTTCAGAGGATAGAAATATTTTAATGCAACTCTCTGTTCAGAAAGTTCAGTAACCACAAGCCACCCTGAGTTGTGCCTAAATAGCACAATGTAGAAAGATATAAAAACCTTGTAACACATTGACAGCATTCCCACTGCAAATACAAACACTCCTGTTTCATATTAATTTGCATATACAAGCAAAAAAATTGTGCTTAGATTTAGGCTTTTCATTATTGCATATTTTATACATAATTGCTATAAGTTTTGAAGCCTTTATTTCCACTTATTTCTATTTATTTCAGATTTTTTAAAATAACTTGGGAACATAAGCTCCTTTTTTTTTTCCCCAGAAAATTACTTTTCGCAAGGACTCAGAAATCATGTTCATAGACAAATAAGTGAGAAATGTGATCTGCAGTACCAGAGCCCAAAGAACATCTTGGTATTCCCATGACTACATGAATGTAGTCTTAACTGTGGTACATCTGAAAGCATTTCCTGCTAGCTCCACTTAAAGTTGAGATACCAAGGCATTTGCTATACAATAATCAGTTCTTTAGATACATCCCAAGATGTGCAGTGTGTCCTGGATTTGCACTAAGGTAGCACCAGCACCTACCTAGCACAGCCAGCTAGCACAACCCTTTCAGTGAAGAAATGTTTTTTAATATCCAATCTTCCCCTGGCAATATCCAATATCCAATCTTCCCCTGGCAATATCCAATATCCAATATCTTCCCCTGGCACAACTTGAGGCCCTTTCTTCTTGTCCTGTCACTTGTTAGTTGGGAGAAGAGACTGACTCCCACCTTGCTACAATCACCTTTCAGGTAGTTGTAGAGAGTGATAAGGATCTCCCTGATCCTCCTTTTCTCCAGGCTAAACACCCCCAGCTCCCTCAGCTGCTCCTCATAAGACTTGTGGTCCAGAACCTTCTCCAGCTTTGTTGCCCTTCTCTGGAGGTGCTCCAGCTCCTCAGTATGTTTTTTGTAGTGAGGGTCCCAGAACTGGAAACAGGATTCGAGATGCAGCCTCACCAGCGCTGAGTACAGGGACATGATCCCTGCCCTGGTCCTGCTGGTCACACTGTTGCTGATCCAAGTCAGGATGCCATGGTCCTTCTTGGCCACCTGGGCTCACACTGGCTCGTGTTCAGCTGGTGTTGACCGGCACCCCCAGGTTCTTTTCCATTGGGCAGCTTCCAGCCACTCTTCCCCAAGCCTGTAGTGCCACATGGGGTTGAAGTGACCCAATAGAACAGAAGTGATAAGACTTAATCCTGCAGGTGAAGTAATAGGGCCAAGAGAGTAGATGCCTATTTTTCTCCACCTCTTTCTTCTTGTAAAGCACAGAGGAAGAAGGGCTTACTGTGACCCCTTGCAGTTATGACTGTTTTACTTCTTTTGGGCAGGAGGTTTGTGTTGCATAGATGAGCTTAGACTGGTCAAAACGTCTCATCCTTTGGATGTGTGATGACTAGGAGTGGGTGTGGAGCACTACTGGAATGGAAACTGCAGGAATCTCTGACATGAGGAGCTGGTGTCACACTCCCATATTTCCTTGCATTATCTCTACATGTTTCTGGTTTTCTTTCTGGTAGCTCTGCAGTATTTTCTTCTCTTCCTGATATTTTGTTCTTCCACTATTTGTCTTCCACTGGTTCAGGTTTCTCAAAATTTTAAGCGCTCAGTAGGTGGTATTGGTGTGCTATATTGCCTCATCTCATACTTCTGCTTAGCCTAATTTCAACTCACGAATGTTTTTGTTTCATAACGATGTAATTGAGTATGAATAGAAAATGAAAAACAGCTACCATTAGCTACAAAATGTCATCAATCTGATTCAAGACCAAACCAAATTAGTTAAATGAGTTGCCCATTCCTTAGGCCACACTCCAAAAATCATGTATTGTCAGGGATGTAAATTGCATTTTGAGATGTAACTTACTAGCATTACAGAACAAATTGACTTTGTTATCTTCAAGATCACTAGGGTTGTGAAACTGAATCAAGTAGAAATTAATATATATTTAACAGCACTTGGGGGTTGAACTTTTCGGTTTTGTCAGTGAAATGCCTGCTTGTTACTTGCCATATGTATTTTGGCTATTTTGGAACTTTTTTAAATTGGATTTGTATTGTATTGCTTTAAGTATTTTTTCACATAAACTAAGAAAACTAGGTTAAAAGGGAGATTTTCCTTTTAATTTTTAACATGCATTTTTTCTTCAATTTTGGGAGCTTTCCTCTTTTAACACTAAATCAAGGGAAGAATTGTTTGGTGTTTCCTTCTGAAAGGCACGATTAATAGAAATTTGTTTCTATGTTAAAATATTTTCTGGTAAACTGACTGAACCTTTGTCTTTATAACAGATAGGAACATGTTTACATTTTTCCAGTTAATATTTACTGTGTTGAGTGTGAATTTCTGACAATCTGAGTTTTATTATCAAGATGATAAGATAGAGGAGTGGAAATTAACATTCACAATGCACATTCTTCTGAGGTGAAAGGCCACCTCCTTTCAGGCACAGCCTGGAGTCTGGGGCCCAGCACATTCACATCAGTCTGAAACTCCTGTCGCTTCAGACAGGCCTGGAATTAAAGTCTCTCCCACCCTTGCATTAAAGAGAAGTAAAGCTGCAGTCTGAAGCTGGATCGGATTGCAAGGGGATGATACAAGTACTTGCAACTTGAAGATGTATTTAAGTTGGTTTGTATCATAGATTTCCAGTGTTTAAATTCAGTGACACAAAGATCACTGTTCTGGGTGCTTAATCTGAGTTGGAATGTTGCCATGGCCTCTTGTTTCTTCACTTCACTGAGGTTTGTACAGGACTTCTAAAAATGAGACATCATCTTATTTCAGCATCAGAACATTTCACTCCCTTTGTAGTTCTAATCCAAAAGCTTTCACTTCTTTTGAAGCATTTTTTTCACCATTTTTATAATTTTATACTCTACTAAAGCCAAGAATATTTTTTCTTGAGTTTCCAACCCTCAGTTAAATCCCTGTCTTCAGATACCTCTGAATTGAAAGGAATAGTGTAATAATTTAAATAGATTATAGATTAAAGCAGATATATATAGTATTTATTATTGGTTCTTACAAACTGAGAGTGTGAGATTTTGATTCCCCAGAAGACATACTCCTTGTTGAACTATTTCTTAATTTTATTTGGAAATAATGCCTTACTAAAAAATGTAAAGTAATTTTGCTGTCCTTTGTACTGTTGCCTGTGTTATCAGTTACTATTTAAAGAATATTAATGGACATACCAAATTCTTATGATACCTATTATTTTCCTTTGTAATATTTGAGTCACATACTCTGCTGGACCCTGGGAATAATGTGAGACAAATTGTTAGGGTAAGGGTCCTACCTGGCCTTCTATTTCTCACAACTGTTAAATCCTGGATTAAACACTATTAGCTCTCACAGTCAACAGGTCCATAATCATGTGGGGAGAGACTGTTCTGCCTGCTAATTGAATTACAGAAGGTCTGTATCTTTTCCTCTGCTTTTCTTTTCTGAAGCATTAGTCAGGATGAGGAGCTTCCTCACGTTTATTGGTATCTTTCCAGGTTGAAGAAAGAGATAATCCCTAAAGAACTGGTTACCAGGCACTAAAAGTGGAGTCATTTATTTTTTCTCCCAATGATTTATTGCTGTTCTGATCTTTTATTACATTTATTTTTGTTATAAAGGCGTGATGATTAAAGAATGAAAATGTCACACCATGGGTTTGTCACTGTTGTCATGTACTTGAGACTTAAAAAGCATTATGCTGTTTGGATATGGACTGTGTCAACAGTAGAAAGTGGCTAGACACAACATTTTTAAAGTACTATAGCCATCTAGAAGTAGTCATTGTGCATTTTGTATTCTGACAAGGCAGTAGGGGCAAAATTCCTCTCTGGCTTAATTCTGTTTGTAATTTTTTGGTCAGAACTTGAGTAGCAGATAATCTAGCTTGACTGAAGTGTTTATGAAGTGAACTGAAAAATGATCACCCTTTCAAAACATGATAAAGGCTTCAGTGGCTGCCTGTTTCAGCTGCCATGGACTAATTATATTCCTTACATGTTACTGACTCAAGCTGCAGTTCTGGATTCCCTATGGAGGTAAAGATTCTGGTGACATTAGTGGGACCTTTGCCTGTGTGAGGAGTGTGGACTTGGACAGGAATATTTTGTACACGTAGAATGGAAATCGTGACAATTTTGAGGTCTTTGGGATTGTTTTTAAATATCAAACCTTGGTCCCAGGGAAGTCTCTGGGAGTTTTTTGCTTAACTTATAAAGTGTAAATATTTATATGACATTTAGTTACCAAATATAGGTTAAAGAGACTGTGATTTAATTGCATTTTTAAGTGTGTGCTTAATGGCAGAGACCTCAGTAATCCTAAGAGAGTAAATGGGTGCCTAAGTAAAAATTACCTTAGAATGACTGAATAATAACTGGACAGATATCAAGCTGATATGAATTAATTTATGAGTGCAAAATACCTAGTAGGATTAGATGGACAGAAAATTTCTCTTATTTAAGCGTATTCAAATGACATTTCTCACAAAATTTTGAACAAATTCTACTGCAAACACAGCAATATTTGGGCAGCCCTGTTCTGAGCACCTCTCGCACACTGATGTTGAGAAGCAGTGCAATATCTGATAGGAGGCACATCTTTCTTGATCCTCCTGATCTTTTCTCATGTAATCAGTCTTATGAATTTAGAAGGATTATCCTCCAATCCCCCCACGTGGTGGTAAGAGGCAGTAAGTCAGACTCTTCTTGTCAGAACAGCAGTCATTGAAGAAAACGTTAGTGGTCAGTTGAAAATCAACTGATTTGTTTTATCAAATCAGTCATTCTTCTGTTTGCTCCTGTGATTCCTATTTACATCTGAGGTAGTTTACTATATATTGGAATGTTCTTTTCACATACATATATGTTTTAATTTGTTTCTGAGCTTTGAAAATAGCCCTTTATAACTGTAAGCATTATAAAATGTATTATTTTTTCATTTACCTCTTGGAAAGCATAGATAATGGCAATTATAAATATTTTTATTATTTAAAATGAGCTTAGGACATTGAGGTAATTTCTATCTCTGAAATGACCTGGAATTTTTAATTGACTGTATAGGAAATACTGAGAATCCAGACTGTCATCTTGAGAATAATCTTAGCACCATTTGATTATGCTCAGCTTTTCCACATAAGACTAAAATGTCACCATCTGATGATATAAGGTTAGCTATTTTTAAAGAAATCTTCAACAATCCAAGCATATTTATGTTTCCCCATATATTTCAGAGTAGTTTCTAAAACAGATGTCATTCATGCATGTTTAATTTTTGTTAGGTCACTCATAATTTTAATTAACATTTATAATAACCTTTATCAGCCTCTTAAGTACAGAAGGTGATTCTATGCAAATTTAATATGAACTTCAAAAATATCAGAACAGATCAGACTCATTAATCTTCTTCTATAGATGGTTCTGAACAAAAGCTCTGGATCTAGACCTACTTGATTGGATCCATTTAAAATCAAACACTGACTTGAACCTGAACATATATGTTGGCGACATCTTCATCTGTCCTCAGTCACCTACTTAAAAGGATGCATCTTCATTACAAAAGCTGCAAATTAGGTGTATTCAGAGATAGATGTATGGCAGCACAGAATGATAAGGGAGAGCACTTGCAAGCCCATATTGGAAAACAGAATAGAAGCCTGCCTTGTTCAACAGAAACACAAATATTCACTGGTCTCTATTTATCTAATATTCTTCTCCTTTATTATAGTCATTGACATTACAACAACTATGAGGATACTGGAAATACCTCACAAGGCTACATGATGTGATTCTACTGGAATTTATGCAATCTGCTGATGCTTTTCTCATGTTATTGGTCTGAATTTTGTCTCTGAGATGTTTCAAAAGAATGGCTTTTTACCTGGGTAGGAAGCTGAGTAAGCAAATGCACAGAAACCCAGTCCCCAAGAGAAGTCACTTACCTTTGTCACATCAGGTACATTAAAAAACTTCTTGGTATGAGCAGTCCATCCCACTATCCCGATGTCCAGAGGAAGAACAGTCTCATTTTCTGGTTTTACCAAATTGTCCTCATAGTTGGAAGTTGGAGTGACATCCAAAAGCCTGGTGGCTACCTCTGGAATACCATTTCGGGAACGACAAAGAAACATACTACACCGATCAGCTGCCAGCAGCTGTGCCAGCCTCTGCAGGGCCTTGTGCACTATCTTTTCCATAACACCTGCTTCATCTTGGATTTCTGTTATCAACTCAAAAAGTATGTTGCTTTCCTCCAGACGAGACATGTCTTTGAAGCTGACTCCTTCCTTCACATCTCCAGGGTTCACTTTAAAGATACTTCCCAGCACTTCTGCCCTCATTTTTCGGTCAAAATACTCCTTGGCAAACTGAGGATTGTTCTCCAGGTATTTTTCAACAGCATCTTTATTTACGTCACCCATTTTTGCTGGATTTTTCTTAGGATTTCTTTTAGAAATTCATCACCATCAAAGCAGGAGTGGTAGGAAGAAGTCCTAACTTGTTACTAGTAAGAAAAATGTACTTTGTACATATTGTATAGCTCACAGACATAATACATTCACCTTCCTCTGTGGCTTTCAAGCCTTCTGAAACTCTTGAGATATGACAGAAGGCACTGGCTTAGCATCTTCTTAGTGTGAGATCTTGGAGACTGCTAATTAAAGAGATGTCAGGACACTAAACCCCTGAGCATTCTTAGCTCATAAATCCTCAAGGAATCATTCTAGCATTTTAAACTAACCAATTAATTCTTAGACCTTATAAAATTGTCTGAAGTGTAGATATGTATACCTGTATGTTATCTCCTTCATTCACAGCATATATATTGTACTATGCACACGAAAGTTCCCATTAAAACTTAATATGAGCTAGATGCTCATCCCACATTAGACACGTGCACAGACGTACACACGTGTATTTGGGAGAGTGACTTAAGGGCAGGAAAATTGAATGTTGTGGAGAAATCTTTTAAATTGTGAAATTTAGTTTTACTTGAAATAGGGAGTAGATGATAGAAATTGGATTACTGAAAGTAAATAATTATTAAGCTATACATGTATAAAATGGGTGAAATCCTAAAGACCTCACAAAACTAAAGAACCTACAAAAGTCCGAGCTTGCGCAAGTGCTACGTGAAGATGGAATAAAAGAATTAGAATTTGACTCACCACAGCCAGACATGACTTGCTTATATATTTTTTTTCTAAAATAGATAGCTAAAAGAAAAAACAAAATCAGAAAATTGATTAAATTCTGAGTTGAGGAAACAGTAAAATTTTTTATTCTATAAGCATAACTGTCCAGTCAGGTTCTATGCCTTCTTCAGAAAAAAATTGATATTTCTGCTGTCTTAAATAGCAGAAAAATGATAATAACTGACAGATATTTGGCAAAGAGGGAATCTTGACTCTGCTCTTAAATATACATGGTTATGCATCTTTAAAGTTTCCTACCATCAGAAGTTCAACATTACTCACATGAATTGAAAAGGAATGATGGAAACTGTTGAATTTTAGGAGCAAACACCCCAAGGCTATGTGAGTGAGAAGGCTGAGTTTAAACTGAGTGCCAACTATGACAGCAAATCATCTGTGATCATTGAAACAGATCTGAATTTCAGCACAGTAGGAAGGTTGCAATACAACTAATCTTATTTCTGTTTGTGGCATCCACATTACTTAGAAGCAGAAAGAAATTCTTGATGTAAGAAGAAAGAAACATATACCCTTTGGCAATTCTTAATTTGTAAAGAATAATTGCCAAAGTACAACTTCATCTGTCTTCCAGAAGCCACAGTGTGTCAACATTCGTTTTTATCAACAGATCTATAAGAATCAATATGGGCAACTAACACAGATCCTCTCGTGCACAAAGAACAGGTCACTGATTGGTGTGTAGCTAACTCACTACACTAGTTTTCCCTCTGACCATGATATGAAACACCAGGTATGACACTAGTTTTTGCTGGACTGCAGTTGCCATACAGAGTTAAAAATGCATATGAAAATCAGCACAGTATAAACATATTTTTTCCTGGTTCCTTTTCTCTGACTGAGTTGTTTCTCCCCAACAGCGTGGAGGGCAGCATAGGACACTGGTGTGTAAGTTTACAGCATCTTCTCCACGGGTGACCTGGCAATACTAAATTGTGGCAGCACAGCAGGATGTTCTCACCACTGCACACACGTAGGGTTCACAAGAAAACAGTAGAAGAAATGCACATATATCTTAGTCTTTTAATAGTTTCATGATTTGATCAATATGTATAAAAGCAATAGAGCCTTGAAAAGAATTTTATATGTAATTGCACATCAAGTTAAATTACTTCTTATCATATTCCTAATTTCTAGCTCATTACTTCTAATACTGTGCTTTAAAAAAAGAGGATGTTGTTCGATGAAATCATGTGAAGGAATAGTGACCTTTTTTTGCATTATTTGTTTGGTCATGTTTGTTTACTGACTTTGGAACATTCTACATAGTAGTTTCTTTGAAGTAGGAGGGGTTTATAGAGGATCTGTCTCATGCCCAGTTAAAACATTCTAGAAATGTTTCTTCTATGTAATATTTACACATTCCTCTCTATCACATATGAGAAACCAATTTTACAAGCATTGATTCTTTATATTGTCATCACATTAATCCAGTGAAATAGAGTGGTCTGTCACTCTCTGGAGGGAGAAGAAAAAATAGGCAACCTGATTGGGTTATACCATTTTCTTTGGGGGCAGGGAGGTTGGTGGGTTTACATTTTGTAAACTAACAATTTTATTATCATTTTATTATCATTTTTTCTGTGTGCAAGATCATATAAAATGCTTATCATGGTTCCACAAAATCTCCCTCATGCCCATCTGTTTTTACAAAAAATACACTATATTTATAAATTACACTATTTGTCCTTTGAGAAAACAGGTAAAGATCATATTTTAATTAGGTACCACCATAAGGTGATAAATCTTTCTTTGTCACAAAATATTTCAGTTGTAGCTGGATTGTCCTATAATCATTCTTATATATCAAATAATTCTTTTTGGTTTTTTCTTATTATATGTTCACTATTGAAATTGCACTCTTGCTCTGTAAGTGTGAAATGACATGGAAAGAAGTATCAGAAACCGATAGAAGTTCTTGATGAAATAGTTTATGTTTGGAAGACAGGTAAGTTGGCTTTTTTTCAACAACTGCTATATTAGTCACGTTGTGTTTCATCATGAACTCTCTCTTCATACTGATTAACCATGAATAATAGAAGTTGAAGTGATTTTATAGAAATTAAAATGTAGATTGATACATAAATGTACCTTATATTTATGGAATCCCACTTTTTAGAGTTAGGAAAATACATTGTGTTTTCCTATTTATTGATGCCTTTTTGTTTTTCTCATAATAGTATTTTAATGACTTGTGCAAATTTGGGCATTTAAACATTTTGAAGGACTAGCATTGTAATGAATTTTAAAGTTTCTCTGCTGGAATATGACATTTGTTTTCTGTTTTGTCTCCTTTACTCTCCTTATTTTCCACACTACTGAACACTTCAGTAAAACTAAGTACATTTGTATTTAAGTTTATTCTAAGAAACTATACCAAAAAGTAATTTCATGTTTCTGGCACTTTAAACATGATTTTGCTGATGTCTTTCCCCCCAGAATTTTAATGAAATCACCTATTAAAATACATTTTAATGTAGGTTCCATTATATGCATGGAGGTTAAATATTGGAAAGTAACCTTGCACAGTCATTTTCACTGCACTTTTAAGTGCAAAAATAATATGCATTTGGATTTGATTCTTTTGCATGATGAGATTGTTTGATATAAAAACATGATGACCAGGGTGCTTATTTTTAAATGGTTTAATTTTAGAAAATATCAGAAATATCTGTGCTTTGTGATTTTAATATATATGATGTCATTTGCCTTTGACGTTCATAGTTACTACAGAAATTGAACTATTTATGGAGTAGTTCTTAGTAGTAGACCATTCCTGAGCCCTTGTGATACATGGAAACTCCTAAGAAGGATAAGTGACAGACGTGGTTATTTAAATAGATTCAAGCAGCACGTAAATGTCAAAGGCATTTATAAGGTTTCCCAGTTCACTTCAGTGTTTGTCTCTGAATGTCTCTGTCCAATCCAAACTGATAGCAGTTAATGTGGTTTATTCAGTTAAGATTTTCTGAGGAAACACAGATCAAATGTGTTTATTTCAACTGTATGACTTTTGATGTGGGTAATTTTGTGGTCACTGTCTGGACACTGGAGATTGATACCTCTGATATAATCCAAGAAATTAATATTCAGAAATATTATTGACTTTTTTTCTAAGTGAGTAGGCTATGAGAATGGATTCTGTAGGTTTTTACAACAGTTATTGTGCGACCCTAAAATAGCCAGGCTTTGGCACTGAACTGTTTTAGTGTCACTGATCTTGTATATTCTGGGGACCTTTATAAACATCTTCAACTTGTACGTTTCTTTTACAATAATTTCTATCCCTTTTCTTACAAAATAATCTTAAAAATGTAAACAACGAGATAGTAAGCTAACTGCTTTTTTTTTTCATATAGCTGTTAGTTCCCCTAAAACTACTAATGATTAGCTCTGGGACTTCATGAAATAACAGAATCACAGAATATGCTGAGTTGGAAGGGACCCACAAGGATCATCGAATCCAACTCCTGGCCCTGCACAGGACCATCCCCAAGAGTCACATCATGTGCCTGAGAGTATTGTCCAAATACTTCTGGAACTCTGTCAGGTTTGGTGCTGTGACCATTTCCATGGGGAGCCTGTTCTAGCACCCAGCCACCCTCTGGGTGAAGAAACTTTTCCTGATATCCAACCTAAACCTCCCCTGACACAGCTTCAGGCCATTCCCTCGGGTTCTGTCACTGGTCACCACAGAGAAGAGATCAGATCTTGCCCTTCCTCTTCCCTTACAAGGAAGTTGCAACTGCAATGAAATCTCCCCTCAGTCTCCTCTTCTCCAGGCTGAACAGACCAAGTGCCCTCAGCTGCTCCTCATATGGCTTCCCCTCAAGGCTACCATCTTCATTGCCCTCCTTTTGAGTCAGCAGAGGTTATAGACTCCAGGGGAAATTTTCTAAAGTAAATGGCCAGTTTAGCATGAAGGGATTAACCTGGCTCGCCAGATGCACTGTAGCTTTGACCAAAAGCATGGGTTTCTTCATAGCTTGGCATGAATTTTTGCATACGGACTGAGCAAAGGGCAGCAGCCTTTTAATTTCAGCCATTCTGACATTTCCTGAGAATGTTACTCAGCACCACTGAGAAGGGTCCTACTCTGTCTTCTTCATTCCCTCCTGCCAGCTATTTATACACTTGATAAGATCCCCCCAAGCCATCTTTTCAGGCTGAACAGTTCCAGCTCTCTCAGCCTCTCTTTTTGTCAGATTCTCTTATTTCTCAATGATC